TTAAGCTAATTAGATTCCATACCTGTTTTTAGATTTAATGCGGCAATAACATTTTCTTCGGTTGCAACAATAATCTTTTTAGCCGTTGAAATTGTGTCAAAACTGGCAAATTTTATTTTGCCAACATAATTTTGTTTCCTACAATTATAGTAAAAAAATTCTAATATATACGAGATGGATAGTAATTTACGATGAAGTGTATTTGTGTATTATTTGAAATGCTAATTCTGATGATCACTGAATTATAATAGAAATGTGATTTACCAATCGAATTTTCCCACTTGGTCCTCATAAAGACATAGAGAAAGATTAAATAAACTTATAAATACAATAAGATATTGCAATATCTGTACATCCGTTAAAAACCGGCTGATATTCCCTCTAAAAGTCCATGCAAAGGAAGCCATGATGAAAAATCTGTATATCAAAGTATCAGCTGGTATCGGCTTCTATTAACTTTTCTGCTAGGCCCTCAGAAGCTAGGGCATGTGAAAGTATAAAAGTGTATAAGACTGTTTGACTATCTACAAATTGTAATTCTAAACTACCAAAAGCAGGTGGCGCAGTAGTATGTAAGGTGGTGCCTTGTACATATATGAGTCTGCCATATTGTACATTCATTATATGTATATACACACATACACATGTGTATCTCAGGAATCAAAGCAGTTATTGGTTATTCATAAGTAATCTTAGATCATATCCATGAAATTGATTCATAACGATAATTTTTTGTGAAATTTACGTGAAATTACAACAAGAGACTGCGAAATAATTTTTTTAAGTACTTGTTTCATGTATTGCATGTTCTAAAAAGAACGTGACATTTACACGAATAAATATGGCACAAATTTAAAATAGTATAGAGATGAGTAAACATAACAAAGCTTTTAAACAAAGTTTCTTTTGTGTAATCTGGTATAATCCATATTGATTTTTACCCACAAGACTTTCATTTATCAATCTAATATTTCTTTATAATACAGATAGTTTAATTCTGTATTTAGTAATTTCTAGTGATTTTTAGAACACTTCTAAGATATACAAATTTTCTGTCATTAGACAGAAAATAAATAAAAAATTTATAAAAAAAGAGGAATCTATTCCTTATTCCTAATATTGAACAAATAAGTAACTACAAAAAAAGTTATTGAAGATGTTTTCAAGCGGTCCTAATTACACAAAACTGAAAACACACCTTAGGTTAGCTATAAACAGATTGAAACTTTTAGAAAAAAAGAAAACAGAATTAGCTCAAAAAGCACGAAAAGAAATAGCTGATTACATTGCGGCTGGAAAAATTGAAAGAGCCAAAATTAGAGTGGAACATATTATAAGAGAAGATTATATGGTAGAAGCTATGGAATTAATCGAAATGTATTGTGATCTCTTACTTGCCCGCTTTGGCTTAATTCAACAAATGAAGTAAGTCATGATACTGTTAATTTAAAATCTGTTATATTCATCCACATATTTTTACTTGTCTTTATGTAATACTTATATTTCTATAGTCTTAAATGTAATACTTATATTTTCTATAGAAATTTAGATGAAGGTCTAGCAGAAGCTATTTCTACAATAATTTGGGCTGCACCTCGTATTCAAACAGACGTACAAGAGATAAAAGTAATTGCTGATATATTAACTACTAAATATGGAAGACAATATACAGAAGCTTGCAAAGAAGAAGCTATACAAACTATATCTGAGAAATTAAAACATAAAATGAGCGTACAGTCTCCATCTAAACTTTTAGTAGAAAAATATCTAATAGAGATTGCAAACAATTATAATATAGAATATGAACCAGATCCTCAAATAATGTCAGAAGGAGAAGATGCTGTATTAATAGATATTGGAAGTAACAACGGCGATTCTAGAAATAATTTAGATCTTGCTAGTGGTGGTAGTAATGGACCACAACCAGCTGGATTTATTGGCTTTCCACAGCCTCCTCTGCTACCAGATCCAAATATAAATGTAATGGTAAGATATTAAACTTGAATTAATACTTGGATTACTTGGAATTATTTGAATTAAAGCCTTAGATTAGGTAAAGAAAATAATATTATTTTTATTTTTTATTAATAAGAATTCTGAGAAAGGAAGTGCACCTATAGGATTTGTACCTCCAATGGGACCTGCTACTTTCTCAGATAAAGATCAAAACACACCCTTCAATCCTGCAGCATTTTCATATAATATCCCATTAGATAATGCTAATACAAATAAGCCTGTAAGTAATAAAGTACGGATCAGTACTTTTACTGTAATTATATATTCCCTTTAAAAGTATTAACTTTTTGCCTTATAATATCTTGTGAAATTCGTTATACTATATATGGGACAAACATAAGAAAGACGAGTTAGACTTGAAATATGTATATTAGCAGAAATATATTGAATATATAATCAGATTGCAAAGTCCATATGCAACTTCTTCATTGAGTATGTATGCATAATCACAAATTAAATCATGAGGCAAGAAGTTAATTAAGCTAATAATAAATAGTTCTTGTTTTGAATTAATTCGTAATATTATTGAATTACTGAATATCTGATTCAGGAAGATGATTTACCACCTCCATATGGCTCATTCCCACCTGACTTAAATAAACAAGTGAGTAGAAGATATAATTAACTATACTTTATTCGTATACTTTATACTTTATTAATAGCAAACAGATGAGAATTGGAGAATTTAACAATTATTAAATTAATTTTTTATCTTGTTTAGTCTGATGAAAAACCAAAGCCTCAACCACGATCAAAAATTCCAATGAGTAATTTTCAACTTCCCGATCTACCTGCTGTACCATCAGGAAGTGAATTACCTCAAAATATATCTGAAAATGATGATATAGATTTTGATGACCTAATGAAACGCTTTGAAGACTTAAAAAAAAGGAAGTAACAGTAAAACATTTGATATAATAATTATAATCAAAACATATAAAAGTATACTATACTTTACTGGTTACTATAATAATTTACATAAATGTAAAGATAATATCACACTTTTGAATATTAGTAAATAATATATAGAGATCTATAAAATAAAATCTATATAAAATAATACTTTTTAACAGATGCTAATGTTTTTATAAACGCAAAATGTAGGATAATATTGTTGTAAACATTTCAAATAAATATATACAGTTTATTAATTGTTAACATAGATATTTATTAAAATTTTTATCCGTAATTACATTATAACTTCCTCAAAATATGTTTATCATTCTTCTCAATTTTAATAATTATTGCAATATTTTATACTGAAGAAATTGGTGCAAATTCTAAAATCTAAAGATGGTGAAAATTAATTATATGTTCCAATCTTCACATTGCTGAAAATAATATTATTTAAAAAAGTACATTATTTGTAAATATAATTAGTAGAATAATAAATTGTCTTACTTCTTTGCCCTTTCCTATTAAACAGGTAATTAGATTTTGTGAATATTCACATTTTTCCATTCTATTCGCAGAATTAAGAAAATAGAAACATTTTATAATAGATTCTTCTATAAAGTCACGTAATTCTGGATCCTGGATTTTTTCTGTCATTACTCGTATCATAGATTCTCGTATTGGAAAGCCTCTTTGATCAACCTTAATAAATAATTTAAATCAGTTGTAAAACATATAATCTCGATATTAATATTTATTAATACTTACAACATTTAATTCGTTGAAGAAACATTGAATAACACACTATAATATTAGGTAAAATAAAAAATTAATATATAATATCAGTATACTATTGTGAGATAATTATATCATAAAAAAAATTATTAATATTATTTTTCTTTATGTCTTACAGAGTCATTTTGTTTTTGATTGTGATTCTCTTGATAATTGTGATTACTTCCAGCATTTTTCATATTTTCCCAGTTAGAATTTGTCATTTCCCAATTATTTGTATCATAGTAACTTTCTACATTTTTCAATCTATCATTGGCATTATTAGAACCAAAAGACAGTGGACTATCATTTCTTGAAGATTGACCAGCTCTATTGTTTCTGATAAAAGAAAAACAATATAATTTTAAAATAATTCATATAGACAGTATTCATTTTTGAATTCATTACCTATTATTTTGCTCATTTAAAAAATTATTAGTATAATATCTACTATTATTTTTTACAAGAAACTTGTTATCAAAACTATTTTCATTTGAGTCAGAAGAATCTTCTGATTCATTATTTTCATTTGAAGAAGAATCAGTATCATAGTTATTATGTCCTAAATTTCGTTTTTTACAATTTTTTAAGATTTTTTCAAATCGATTAGTTTGTTGATTAATTGCCTGACATCTTAGTGCCTACAAAATATAAAATAAAATAGAATCGAAATTAATTTTTTTTAATATTGAAATTAATTTTTTTTTCAATTTTTATAAATATTTCTACATTAGAAGTTTGTAAAAAATTATTAACTTACTACACAAAGATGAAAACATGATATCAAAATAAAAACAAATAGAACTGTAAAATAAGACTTCATTTTGCCATCTACTGATTAAAGTGGTTTTGTGACACATAATATATATTCTAATCTATAAAACTCCTTACATAAACAGTGAGTTTCCATTGTAATGTTATTTGAACTTATATGAAAGATTAATGAGATTGTTTCTATTTTAATTGACATTTCCTTATCCTGTCTAGTAATATACAATACCACGGAGATATGGCTCATTAAATTCTTCCTGTTATAAAATCTATTTGCTACTAATATCAATAAATATGTAATTGCCACTAAATAAAATACAATGTATTTTCTAAATATTATTATATATAATACTTGTTTATATATAATATAGTTTATAATATAGTTTATTATTATTATATTTAATATTATTATATTTAATACTTTTATAATGGATCTTATGTAAGTAAAAAATGAAAATATTGGAATAGGAATTGAAATAATATTATACTTTTTAAGATAATGATTACGTAAAGTAAGGAATGTTAATATGTTTGTATGCTTGCAGGAATACTTGGTGGGGATATTGGAAAGTTCCAGGTTTATGTAAATATGCTTCATAGAATAAAGAGTTGCAGCTGCAGTTCAGTTTGTGCTTTCTTTTGAGAAACAATGTGCAGCATAATATGGATTGTAAGTACATATTTATTATGTTTCATTGTATTTATAAATGTAAATAATTATCTAGTTTTAAAGGTATTAGAGTTATTGACCATAAAATGTAATGAACCGTGAAAGCGTGACATTTGAATAAAAAGTGTAAACTGCTTTCACATTATTTCTACCTGAAATATCTAATCTATAAGGAAAGCATTAATACATATCTAAACATTTAACTAAATATTTGTTTTATTTACAGTTGATTGGAATTGTTTTAATTTGTTCATTTCCTTCACAAACACACAGCAGTATTTATGATGATAAAATTAACTTACAAATAAAAGATAATTTACAAAATATAGCAAAGAAGCATTCAAATGATATTAAAACTGTGAAAGTATCAAAACTTAAATATATATTAAGAAATACAACAAATAAATGTGGACTTGAAAAGACATGCAGTAACGTAGAAAAAAATCTTAAAAACAATTCTGATAATTATAATAATAAAAAAATAATAATAAATTTAGTTTCACCATTAACAACAAGTAAAGATTATTATACTTATTTTAATAGAAGGAAAAAAGAACTAAAACATAAAAATGTACAAGAAGATATGAATCAACATAATATACAAAATTATAAATATGAAAAACAGAACACATCTATAAATCATACAAATCCTACAATTGAAAGTAATCATCTATCTTACATACGCGACCACGCGCCAGACGCAACAAAGGTAAAAACTTGAATGATATAATTATATAATAATATTAAAACTCTACATTTTAATACTCTACAAAATTTAATTTTATTTATAAATATTTACAAGAAAGGTAAAATAACCAGAATTATACTGTACAAAGAACTGTAAATAATTCTTTTTACAGAAAGCTTCACAAAATCAAATTGGATATAATAAAAACTACAAAAAAAAGTCTTCTACAAATGTATCGCAAATTTCACCTGATGGAGATAGAGTAGAATTTCAAATACAGGGCCATGAAGGTCCAAAAACATACATCTTTGGGTTTGATACTGGAGTTGGGTAAGGATCAAAGTAACAGTATATGTATATATTTATATATATAAAATCATTTGTATATTAATAGCTTACATACAATAATTTTAACTTTTATAGAAAAAACAGACAATACAGATTAGAGGAACGTTTCAATGATGGTACAGTAAAAGGCCATTATGGTTATTATGATGCTAGAGGAAAATTACGAACTGTTAAATATATTGCTAAACCTATCGAAGGTTATCAAGAGAAGCATCATGAAACAAATATTCATGGAGTCGAATATTGAATATCACTTACTAACAACGTGAGGTTAAAACCTTTATTAACAATAACAATTAGTGTATACAAAAAAAAATTAACACAAAAAGATATAAATCTTGCCAAGATAGATACATATGAATATATTAATAAATCTAATCTATATCGAACATATTTAAGATTCATTGCAAAAAAACATAAGATTATATTTTATAAGCCCCTTTTATGTATTGATCTTTAACATGTTCACTGATGGTTTATAAAATAATAATTTTTGACACTTTTGTAATATATATATTAATGGTCTATGTATAGTAAAACTAGACTTTATTTTATCTTTTTTACATCAGCAGCCCCATAAGATGAACTGTTACTTATCTCAGACATTTGAATTGTTTTGTACATTAGCAGATAAACTAAAACAAAAATAAAATAAAAATTAATTATAAAACAGGTAATACATTAATGTATAGTATTTATAATTATTAACGCAGAAGAATATTACACTTTATGTAATAATATATAAACTAATTTATATAAATTAGATTATATAAAATAATTTAATTATTATAAAATTATAGAATGCTTACATAGAACAATGATGGCCAATCCAATAGAAAAGTATACAGTTGAACCAGATAAAAAGAGTTGAATAAGATAATATAACATTGGTACTAATACTACCACGACCCAAAAAAAGGTATTGATCAAAGAATAATATCTTCTTTTTAATTTGAATATATCTGTTTTAAGAACACCACTTGTTGCAAAAAAATCGCCAGTTTCATGAAAACTTTCCATCATTTTATCCTAATAGAAAAAAAAAACAATAGCCATTTCTTTAGTTTTTTTAACAAAATTATTATTAAATAATATTTATATGTGAATGTAATTTAAAAATATCTAACCTTTTCTTGGTATAATTTGTGCAACCATTCAGCAGCAGCTTCATCTCCTTCTGGTACTTCTTCTAAAGGTATTCTCCTCATATACATATGACCTTCTATTTTTTTCCCTAAAAGTAGATTTGTCATGGTAGGCTTAACCGGATCACTTTCTTTAAATGCTACTTGAATATTATATATAGCCATAGTTTTTCCTCTCATATAAGGAATGCTAGAAATAAATCCTTTTGTGCGTGGAGTTAAATGATATTTCAAGATTGGTAGATTCTTTTCTTTGGCAAATTTTTGACTGGCTTCTAACTTCTTAGATGTAACACGTGTTCCTTCTGCATATAGAAGGAGCTAAAAATTATTAAATATGTTTAGAAAGAAAAAGAACATTATCTTCACTTAAAAACTTACTTACCCATATTGAATCAGGATGTTCTATTAATTCTTTAATTTGAGTTCCTATCACATCTTTGTCTTTATTCCAGTTTCTTTCTAGAAAGATATTTTCTGCAAATTTCCATGCCCATCCCAATGTAGGAATGTACTGTATAGATTTCTTGGCATATGCTTTACAATTCTATAATTTTACAGATCAGGTAGAATTCTCTTTTCATTACATACTGCAAATAGTTTATTACATACCCCTAATACACCTATACGATCACATGCTACCCATCCTAATAACCAATCTACTTCATAACTATGATTCATTAGAAGATATGCATGTTCGTGGCCAGAATACTTGTCAAAGTCTTTTTTATCTATGTAAAATGTAACATCTGCTCCAGCCCACCATTCTGCCATACATACTAATTCTATAAATAAAAAATACATTTTAAATATAATTATCTTTTCAAAATGTACCTTGTAGTATTAGCTTCTAGCACCAACTTACCACTATAAAATGAATAACAAAGATAATAATTGATCTTGCGATAAAGGTACTTAGAGAAAGGTCTAATCCCAAAATATAAAATACATTGGAAGAAATTTATTATTAAGCCAGATGTAAAAAATGTAATGGCAAGCATAAGATGTACAATTGATGATCTTTTCAATGAGGAAAGAATGCCCATTATTATAATTTATTATTTCTAATCTGTGCGTTTTGTAGAAGACATATACTTATCTCTCAATCTAAAACAAAATTTTTTATATACTTGGAAAATAATACATACCTTAAATTTTTCGTAAAATACATAAATTTGCATTAATCACAAATACTAAATGTACTAACAACTATATAAATAAATACATTTCTACTTAAGTTATTTCTACAAGTATATTTTTTATTTTTTAACCAAAATATGATAAATATAGCATCATGGATATAGCAGGATAAGACAATACTAATTAGAAATGAAGCTATTATATATTAACTCTTTTTTTTATTCAAGTATTATATAAGATATCCCAAATTTATTACGATTAAATGATACTAGATATAGATATTTATATAGTATTATTTCTTCAAAAACTTTAAATTAATATTAATAATAATACGATTACACATAAATAGAGAATGCAGAAAGTAAATAAGAAGTTTTTCAAAAGTCATAAGTTATTACTTTTTTGTAATAGATCTTATATCTTAATGAATAATGTTTTAATTATTTTAATTCATCAATTAAATAAGAAATTATATCATTGAGTAGTACTTCATGAGAAATCATCAAGCTTATATCGTACTTGATCATTTGATAATATTTTCATTTATATGTTTAGTATACTTACCTAATAATTTGGCATTGTTGTGAATTTTACATGCTTTATTAAAGCATTATCAAATTATTAAAGGTATGATATTCGTCGGTAATACAGCTCTAAAAAATTGCAATCAAAACATAAATATAAAACTATGATTACTAAGATCGAAGTTCAAACCTACAATATTCCAAAGTTCATGGAAAATGACAACATAAAAAACGTTTATTAGCGCCACATCGTATTTATGTATATATTTACTCATTAAAATTCTAATAGAAAAAAAATAGATAAAGATTAATATTGATTATAAAATTGTTGATAATTGTTGATAAATTGTTGACAAATTTATATAAATAATTTAAAGAAATAAATATTAGAGGAGAGGGGCACTGAGAACCCCTATTTGCTTTTTCACTTATTTTATTTAGAAATTACCTAAAGCACAGTTTACAAAAAATACCAGATATATACATATATGTAAAATATATATATATATATATATATATATATATATATATATATATATATATATATATATATATATATATAATACAATTTATTACAAATTTGAAATATTATATTCAACATTAAAATCATTAGCATCAAAGAGAGATTTTTTACGTAACGATAAATAAATGAATTATATGAATATTATATATTTAGTAGCCTTCGATAGTAGTAAGTTTTTAATTTACTGCGAAACTTTTCATAGTAAATTTATAATCAAAGAATAACATTTATGATTGGTTGAATAAAAGTACTAATTATTATTCTTTTGTTTTAAAATGAATTTTGGTATAAAGGTAAATTATTTCTTTCCATCTTGTTTTAGCGCGAAATTAAAATCAGTTAAAATAGAACAATCAAAAAATAAAACAAAGATTTAGTGTATATACAATAATTTAATATATAATTTAGTATATATATACTTGACTAAAGTAATGATATAAATATCTTATATTCTTTTGTTTCCTTTCATTATACTACACTATAGAAAACCATGAAAAGTAGAATAATGAATGAAAACATAAAAGAAGATATATTTTATTTTATATATTTTATTGGCCTGTATTTCTGCATTATTTAATTTAAATTATTAATTTTAGAATATATTTAATAAAAAATGATATTTTTTTTTTACAGATTCTAGATTGATATATATTGATATGTGTTTACCTTTACGCATTTACTATATAGGAACATCAATCTCATTTTTAGGAACGCATTATAACCAGCCAATCGCTGGTCACTTCGACACGCCCTTTAAATGTTCGTTTTTTTATGAATGCAAGTAAAACAGTTAGGGATTCACTACAGTTTTGTGATTGTTATTATATTGTTCTATTTTATAGTGTTGTCGTAATTTGGTTTGCTTATTGTTTAATATATAATTGAAAATTTTTGAACTATATATAATGGTGAGTCATGAACATTTATTTGCTTTTAAATCTGTTGACGTACACAGAAGGTGTACAGTTTATGTTTATAACATCATTTATTGTAATATCTAACAAACTGTAATCAAATAGTTTTGTTCTGGTTGTTTTGTGGATATAATTTCATCATTATATTTTATCATAACCTGCTTTGTAGAAATGTCAAGATGGCGCTCATTATTGGTGTTTCAATAATTTTTATGTAATAATTTCTTAATTTTTTAATAATATTAAATTATTATTATATGTTCTAGACTGAACAACAAATGGACTGTGCTTTAGACTTAATGAGAAGATTACCTCCTCAACAAATTGAAAAGAATTTAAGTGATCTCATAGACTTAGTCCCTTCTTTATGTGAGGACTTACTTTCTTCTGTAGATCAACCTTTAAAAATAGCAAAAGATAAAGAATCAGGCAAAGACTATCTTCTTTGCGATTATAATAGAGATGGTGATTCTTATAGGTTTGTTATAAGAATTCTATCTATGATAAAAAACTAAAGATATATAATTTTTATTTAAATATAAAGTTAGAATATAATTAATCATTTTTATATTTTAGATCTCCATGGAGTAATACGTATGATCCACCTTTAGAAGATGGATCAATGCCTTCTGAACGATTACGAAAATTAGAAATAGATGCTAATCATGCATTTGACCAATATCGAGAACTTTATTTTGAAGGTGGCGTGTCTTCCGTTTATTTATGGGATCTTGATCACGGTTTTGCTGCAGTTATTTTAATAAAAAAGGCTGGAGATGGGTCTAAAAAAATTAAAGGTTGTTGGGATTCGATACATGTTGTTGAAGTGCAGGAAAAATCAACCGGTAGAAATGCACATTATAAATTAACTTCAACGGCGATGTTGTGGTTACAAACAAATAAACATGGTTCGGGTACCATGAATCTAGGAGGTAGTTTAACAAGACAGGTAATGTATTTCCATATTTTTATCAATTAGAGATTCATAGAAACATAGTATTTGTATTATGTTTATCATTTTAGGTGGAACAAGATGCACAAATAAGTGAAACATCACCTCATATTGCTAACATTGGCAGAATGGTAGAGGATATGGAAAATAAAATTCGAAATACACTTAATGAAATTTATTTTGGTAAAACTAAAGATATTGTTAACGGTCTAAGATCGGTTCAATCTTTAGCAGACCAAAGGCAACAAGCAGCATTGAGACAAGACTTGGCTGCAGCATTACAAAGGCGAAATGCTAATAACTGATTACAAGGACAAGAAAGCTTTGATTATAATTGTGATTAGGAAAAGCAAAACAATTTAAATCACACATACACAAATTCATGGCAACACTGTTATTTCTACACTAGGTGAAAAAATGCAAAGGATTTATTCTGGGGCATTTTTAGTTGTATATTAATTTCTTGTTTATTCTTAACTATAATTTTACTTTGTTCAGCATGTTTTGCATTCAACATTTTAGTCAGTTACTAGTAGATTTAGATGTATATCTATAAATAAAACAGAATTTGTTACTAAAAAATGTTTTAGTATAACACACTGTTCTTGCTTTCATTCAACCTTTTGAAAAGCAAGAATTGCCTTAAATGGCTTAATTCATGCCTTTGTATTAATATTGTTAAATTACACACTAATTTCCCAGATGACAAAATATGCAAGGATATTTTGTTATATAATTAAAATGTAGTAATTCTTTTCATGAAGAGAAATTTATTCTATCTGAATTGATTTTTATTCAGTACTTATATTTTGCATGAGTATAAAAGCAATGTATTAATAATCTTTTGATACAGTATGTTTCATCTGTTTGATTATTCATCTACTTATGCAAGTAAATGATCATAATTGCACTTGCATAAAATAATGATTCAGGTATGTGAAGTATACTGATACTATGTTCCATGTGTATTGTTATCTGGGTTGGTGTACTTACAAAGATCATATTCTAGTTGAATATAAGAAACCCTAGTACATATTTTGCATTTACTTTATTTTTTGTCTCTTAAATATAAAATTAGTATTATTTTCACCAAATCAGTGATAATTTTTATTTTATTACTTTCATTTTTTTGACATATATACAAATAGATATCATTTTGGAAAAATAAATAAGATCTTTAGTACTACTCTATGTGAAAAATAATAGCAATTAGAAAATATGATAACAAAATTATAATACAATGGAAAGCAGACAAATGCTTGTGACGGAGTTTATATATTTAAATATATTACATTTAGATTAAAATTCTCTATTAAATGATTTGCATTTTGTACTAAAATTAAAAATTATATATTTTTGGAATTGATGATTTAAATATCTTTAACATTTGATGATCTAATAATTTGGAAATATGATATATGAATATAAATTAAATATAAATATAAAAAAGTCTACATAATTATAACTTATAATAAGTACTAACACTTTTTAACTTTTGCAACTTTTATATTTTTTGAAATATCACTGATTTTGGTTATATCGTGTGAAACCGCATTAAACAAATAAAATGAATTAATAAACTGCAGGTTTTGAATGGGCAAGCTGGAGTTTTAAATTTAATTACATGCAAGGTATACATAACTTATGTACATTAAGTAGTTAAGTAAATAATTGCAAAATTTATATCATTTAAAATAAAAATGCTAGACAATTAAATCAGTATTTGTACTGATAATAGTATGTTTTATCTTTTATACATCTAATATGACATAATGGAATTAATATTATATATCTATGCTAAAATCTTAATTTTCAGACAGCAAATATATTTTATCTTCCTTGAGCGATAATAAAATATAATAATTGTTGAATAGTGTGCGAGGAATTAATAACACAGATTTTTAAGTGAAAAAGCTTCATTTGGAAAATACAGTTAGTTTGATACAGCCAGACTATTTCTTCGTTAACTGCATGGTACTTCATTGAAATCATAGTTCTATTCTTAAAATTTTTATAAAGGCTAGAAGTTTGTATATTTTTATATTGCCAAATTTATTGTATTACAAGGACATCATATTACCCACATGCAATCAACATTTGCTAGAACATTATTAATAAAATAGTATAATTCATTGAACTTCATGAATTAATTTCAGAAAGTTCTTGTTATGAAGTTATATGATAGCAAACACACTTGATGAATAGTAACTTCATTATTAAGCGTTTGATTAATACCTTCTTTAAAAGAAAATTTCTTTAAATACATTTACTATATTCTGAAATTCCAATGTTTCAGTATTTCTATGGAATTTATGATCTTTAATAATATAGATTATATGTAGTATTTTTATCACGTATATGACTAATCATTTATTAATGCAAATACTAAATACATATACTATAATAAAACAGTCTGATTCCACACATTATCACAAGTAATACAGATCAAATAATTAATTAAGAAAAAAAGATAAATATACAAAAGAAATAAAACAGCAAAAAATTTCGTTATTTTTTCGTATCTTCGCGCGTAATCGCCTTAGTATTAAAGTTAAGTTATTAATAATTCCTCAGTCTTTATTCATGCTTACAGAATATACGTGTTACAGGTAAGAAGGCCATTATTCCTATAATCGCTAACAAAGTCTTGAAATTTAAAGATGATTCGATGGTATGTATGTATACATATACTATTTGTATTATAATATAAACGATAGTTTCTTTTTTTTAAGAAACAAAAAATTTCAAAGAATATACGAAAATAAACTAAGAACTAAACTTACCTGATCTTTGGACTAATATTTAATAACTAATATCTTTTTATTTATTAACTAAAATCGTATGTGAGATTTGTTACTTTTGCTCTATTAAAATAAGTTAATATGACTCATGACTTCAGTTGTTTTGTATATAAGAACGAATTAGAAAAAAAATTATTGTAAATATTTTTCTAACCTTTACATATTTTTTTTATCTATAATAAAATTATAAGCTATAACATCAAAAATGTTGTAATACAAGTAAACATATTTTTCAAGAATTTATTATGTATTATCTCATTATGGAAAATTTTGGAAACCAAACTTCCCTTGACTCATGTCAGTAAAGGAAGAAAATAATTTTTATTATTCTTGTTAGGTATTTGTAATACACAACAAAAAATTCTTCGGGTTACTTCAAATGTTATATACGTAACATTATACCATTAACATTTAGAAAATACAAAATAATGGTTACAAAATGAATTTAAATCTGGAATATTGTTTGTAGCGTCTATTCATAGCAATGACACATTTTCTCATATTGCAATTTATAATGCATATTACTCAATTATTGTTCCACAATGTTCATTGATCTTAAACAGAGTGGTACTAAATGGCACTTTTTATAAATAATAATTAGACTTGTTAAAATAATTTCTTTTACACTGTGATGATGTGGCAAGATTCAAATCTGTAGTTCTTTAATACATTATATCTCCATGTTTTATGACAATACCCTTTCAAAAAAGTAAACAGATATATTTGTCTCAGAGTATCCAAACATTCTTTAATAGAGTTCATTATCAAATTCGTTTTATCAAAACGTTAAGAGACTCCGGCAAAATGTACTAATCTACTAAAATAAGGCATATTTGTGTTAAACGCACCATTTATTTCTATTTAACTTTCAAATTTTTTCTTGTCTTGCTATTGCACTGCCACCACAGAGAATAATTTCCTCCAAAGACATAAAATATGTAGTTGTAATAATAAATCAAATATATTATCTTTTTTATTCTTTTTTTTATTCTTTTTTTTTTTTTTATTTTTTTTTATTTTTTTTCTTTTTGAAGTAGCATATAATATGTTTTTTATATTTCTTCCTTTAATCCAGTACCACTTTTATATAATTAGCATTTTTTCTGTTATTTAATATAGGTTCTCATTGCATTACAAGTAATATGATAACCTCTGTATTCTAAAAAGGATGACAGTGCACATATTTTTATTTCTTATTTCTTTATAATTATAAGAAATCAAATGTTTCATGTAAAGTAGTTATATAACTATTTGAGCTTAAAAAAGATTATGTCTCATTGTCAATTCTAAGATTATGTTTATAATATCATTTAAATGTATTAAATGTTGCACAATGAAATATTATAATGTGTATTTTCTTTCATATTATTTATTTGGTGTCACCTTTTACCAAAACTAATAATTATAAAGAAAAAACTGTTATTTTGTAAAGTTTATTAATCTTATCAGAATGTATATAAATTAAAATCCAAAATGGCTTGTGAAGAGTGTTAATTATATCTTTAGTAATACAATTATAATGTTATTCAAAATACCTAATACATAAGATTATTGAAACTTTAGCATTTACATTCTTAAGATGACACCAGAACTTGTTCTTAAAAAAAGAAAATTAAATATCCATAAAAAATGTGATTGCTCAAATTTCAACATAAAAGAACTTGAGCTTTATTTTTCTCTTAGAGATCTATCTCATATTTGCTATTAGGCATTCGCGCACTTTGTTTATGTCACACGACATTATTATGTTTTCCTCCATTCTTCTGCCACTGTCCATAACAAAGCACATTTAAAGAATATGAACCTGGTCCAACATAGCACATTTGGAATACAGAGAGATGACGATTTATTTCATATTAATATTAGATACTTCTGCTCATTTAGATTATAATAGATAAGTGTTAGGTTGTTCACTGTGCAATGAACCAAAGTTCTCAAGGAAGGCATATCTTCAGAAATTTTGATTACTTATGTATTCTACAAAGATGTCAATCGTGAATGCTCTCATCATTGATAAAATGACATTAGCTAGCTTGTTTGTAATATTTTGTTGAGAGTTCATATAACACGTATTAATATCTTTATAGTAGTGTCTCAATATCATGCTGGTATATAGTACTTTGGTAAGATGATGTTTGTTAACAAAAAGATATGACAAACGAAGATCTTAAAGGAATAGTAATGACAATAAAATAATAGGAATTATTGAAATAAAAACATGTTTTTAGGATTTAGTATGACCATATGTGAGAGGTAGGGGCACACAACATACCTTCCCATAAAAGCTCTGGTTATGGTCTTGTATCAATTTCTATTTTCATTGTATATTAATCTACATTTTCAGACTGTATTTTCTGGAACAATTTTTTATATAAATACGATCGTACAGAATAATACAAAGGAGAAAATAGGGCAAGTTGAGTACATAACATAGAAACGAAGTATAAATAATTCGAATGTTTAATGAAAAAGAATACTAAGTACAGAAAGAAATATTTCAAAAATTGTCATTTGTTATGATAAAGGCAATAATTGGAATAATAAATATAAATATGCTACGCATGACAAAATATTAAATCATGTTACTTTGTAATTAAAAAATATCAACATGATTTCATGTTGGTGAAATTAAAATTTGTCATGATATTTCACTGAGAGTTACCTTTACTAGACAACTTATATGATATAACAGTCATATGATTTATAGTAAAAAATGTTTATTGAAAGAAGTACTATCATATGTTACAAGAACATATTGTAAATAGTTTAGGCAAATTGTAAAAAAATGAGATTATCTTTTGTATTACTATGAACTTATTTTTTTTAGATTTTTTTTAAAACTTATTCTTTGCCTTTTAAATAATACTTGTACAACTAGAAATTATGCATTTATAATTTATAAAAGCATTCTGTAAGCATTCTGTGCTTATAAAGCTTGTGTGTAAAGTTATAAGTTATTTCTATAGCCATTGTTAACAATATGCAGATTATCTACATAATTGCATCATATGCCAGTTTTAATCTATAAAATTATATAACAATAATTAAAAGATGCTAAGTATTATTAATACATAAAAATTTATCGAATTCATATGAAAAATTGTTCCGCACTATAGAATGCATCTCAACCTTGGTCTTCAACAGCAATACGTGTCTATTTACTTTATATGTATATTAAGTTAGAAAGCTTTTGTGGTTTTTACATAAATTGTTTCCACACATTGAATACTGAAGTCTCCAAAAAAAAATCGAGGATGTGTAAAGGCTTTTTTCAATTTTTATTTCTTAATCAACTCTTTGTTGAAAAGTTGTATCTTTTGTATAACAAACAACGTATGTGTGTGCCTGTGTATGTATGCAATTGTATATGTCTAAAACTGGGTATTGCGAATTCCATGAACCCAATTCTTCTTGTCTTACATTGCTTAGAAACTTTAGCATGTGTTTTGTTTTGAATATTAGTAAGTAGATGTTACTTTGATAAAAAGATGTTTTTGTCCGCTGCTGAACTGCTGTTGGTTGGAACTGTGGACTTAAGTTTTTTTTTACCAATGATAAGGTGTCGATTGGCTAAGCGGATAGTTTGGTTGTGTACGATTAAAACTGAACACAATTATTTGTCGAGGGCAGTGTTGGTTTTGATGGCGATTACCACCTCTTCGCCACAAGCTTTTAATACAGTGCACTGAAAAAATATAATAAAATAGCATAATCAATATATATTATTAATATTTGTTTCATTAAACAGATCAGGAATATAACTATATAAATTAAAGATTAATTACAATATTTTATATGGCTGATTGTACAAATCCATGTTTATAAGTTACAAGTTACTATCACTATATTCTATTACCCAAATATACATAACATTAAAGAGGTTTTTTAAATAAACTTTTTATATTATTCTCTTTGTAATTGCGCATAACAAAAAATATATGGGCTAAAAAAATAAATAGGTCATTAATAATTAAACGTAAAAGTACTTACAAGTAATTCTTTTCCAGCCTCAAAATCAGCACGTAATTGAGCTCCTAATTCACCATCTGGTATTTTAAGATCTTCACGAAGATCTCCATTATCAGCCATCAGACATAAATAGCCATCGTCAGATATATCTGTCAGCTAAATTCAGGTACACACAGGATTGTTATTATTAATATATATATTAGAACAATTTATAATAATCGTAATATAGAATAATATTTGAATGAAGCATTACAGAATAATGTTTTAATAACTCTGTATTTTGTTCCAATTAAAATCATTGCACAATTTTATAAATTAATGAGAATGAAACACATAATAATTGTAAAACAATAATGATCAAATTAAGAGAATAAAAATTACTATTATTATAATTAAAATTTTACCTGGTAATCTTCTCGCTTAACAAACGGCACATCCATATTATGTGTAGAAGGGCAAATATCTTCATATTTCTTTGAGGTAAATATGTCAATACCTACAAGGTGAACCTTGGCATGACCATGTTTTCCAGTCTTGGAAGTTGACATTTCAACAATTTTGCAGGGTCGAGATTTTAACATGACAAAACCATTTTTACGCAGTGCAGAACATTGCATGGGATATGTTACTGATGCTCCAGAGTCACCAGTCTCAAAGTGAGTATCCTCAATGTCTGCCATTATAGATTGTGTAGATCTATTAGTGAAATAAAAATTTCTTTGTTTTAATATTATAAAACAATATTATTAATTACATGTCAAATGTTTCTTAAAATTAAATTTTTTTGAAATATTGTCTCGAATAAAAAAAAAAAAGAAAAAAAAAAAGAAAAAAAAATAAATAAAAAATAAATAAATAAATAAAAAATTAAAAAAAAAGAGAAAATATCAAATAAAATTGTTTTATATTATGACAAGATTATAAATCTTAAAAGTAGAAAATGTATTGAATATTAAGTGTTTAACTGTACCATATAATAATATATAAAAGAATATAATGTTTTTACTGTTTTTCTGTTCTTTGATACATCTAACACGGATATTCTTATATCACTAATCAAAAGAACATATGGTTGTGTTTAAAACAATCCATAGTTCTTTGATCACATAGATGAAAAATTTAACAGTAGGACAGAGTTGCCACCATCATGTGAATTTTAAACTAAATATTCTAGATATAAGCAATTTTCTTTTAAATTAAGCAGTTGGAAAGTAAATCAAGATGGTAGAATTAAACATATCATACTAAGCCGGTATTAAAAATATGTAAATAACAATGAACACTGGCATATTTAACAATTACAACAAAGTTTTTACTGTAAAAACCGTAAGTGGAATAGCCGAGCAAATGGCCATGTGGCACACCGACGATAAAATCCGGCATTAAATTGAACGAATTCGAAATCTAATTTTTAATTAAATAAACGTTTATTTGATACAAGTTTCGGTTTTAAAAATGTATCCGACAACGATTTTAAAACAATATAACTAGAAGAATATTTCTCTTAAGAAACATTAAATGTGAAAGTGAATATGTAGGCTAACCAAAGATTGTTTTTACATAAACGATGGGACTTAAAATAATAGAGAACTTCTTGAAAATTGACACGCGTATGAATACATAAACAAAAAAACTGACAACAAATATATTTTTATCTTTACTCGTTGCGTATTTCAAGGAAATTTGTGCGAAGATGGCGCGAAAGAGTGTTAGCCACATTGCCAGCAGCCCGTTGTCATCGGCACGAGCAACGACATTTTTTTATTCCCGACGTTTAGTTAACACTGTCGTATCAATACAAACCAGTTGGTGTTTCACTGTCGAATTCTTAATTTTCCTTTGCTCGTTCAGACAATTAGCACCATTAGTTTTCACCGAAATCGAGAACAGCTCGAGATACTCACATGTGATCAAAATGGATACTCTAACCAGAAGATCTTGTTGCGCCTGCGCGCCACGATGAACGAAAGAGGGGTCTACCAAGCTGAAAGCAAGGACTCTAAGCTTCTATGACCGAGCTTGGCATCTATAGGCTTCTGTGAAGTGTTCAAAAAACTTCCAGATAGTTAAGCTACAAATAAAGGCGTGTTATTGAATATTTTGAAGATACAATTATTAAAATTTACTTCTTATGTATATTTGGTATGAAAAATTTTTAAATACTGCTGTATTTAATTAATTTAAATTTGTTTTCAAGTTTTGTTTATAATTATTTTACTTTTGATAACCTTAGATTAGATATTATACATGAACCAATCACAATCGAGTACTACATTTTACTAAATATTTTGTTTATATCGTTTGAGCGGTGAATATCGACTTTTTTCAAAGAATACGCATTGTAATTGTACTTAAATTGTTATTATTTATATTTATATAGATCATTGTCAAAGCACATAGAAGACAAATAATTAAATTAATGGAAAATATGACTAGTGACACAGAAACAAATCACAGTCAGTATCCTTGCAATTTTAAATTCCATAAATTCGTGGATGAAGAGGTTAGAATTAGTTGTCACATTATAAGAATGGAAGACAGCTTATATTTATGGGTTGGAGATGCTAAACATTCTGTCATGAATAATCTTGCTTTTGCACTTAGATCAAATTATGAATCAGTACCGATTGCTACAAAGATAATGGGTGCAGTGGCAGATGAAACTTCCACTAACATAGCTAAACGTTTAACAAAAAAATTGGGAAAACCTGTATATGTTAGTTTTAATTTACAGGCTGATAGAATATTATTGCCTCAGATCGAGCAGAGAATACATCAAGAATTTAAAACAAATGAAGAACTAACAATATTTTGATAAATTTTTATATTTCATCCCAGATATCTTGTAACTTTTCAATAATACGACTGTGTAATATAAAATTTATGTATATTGTATGGCTATATGTACGAAATTTAATTTTATAATAAATTAAATGGATCATGTTAATACAATACATTAAGTAATATTTGTTTTATATGTATTGGTACTATAAATATATTCTTGCATTCTTTTATTTTTATATATTTTATGAATCAAGGACCAATAAACCATTATGAATATATATATACTTCATTTTTATTGATAAGTTTATTTAATGATTATTTATTATATGAATTTGAGTACATTTAGATATAGCTATTTTTGCGATGACAAACCACATAATTAAAGAAATGGAGTCTTCATAATTAGTTGGCCATCTTAAAAGATAATTAATTGGCCATAATGTATCCTTTGGTAATTTTATTATAGGTTCATTGTTATATATGTATAAAAGGATCACTATTAATATGCCCTTAAATATAATTAAATAATATAATATAAATAATAAGCTTTATTAATTTTTATTGATGAATGATAAACGATATAAGAATGTATAGAAAATGTAATTTGTAACTTAAAATATTTATAGGTCAATAAATAATTCTTTTATTTAATTATCAAATATATAATACTTACATTGATGATACGAAAACCATAAGTGGTCAATAATCTTGCTTTTTTTCTACTGGATAATCTCCCCTTTTCTGTAAGAAATTGTTATATATATTATATTATTTTTGCATACATAGCTCATTAATTTATTTTCTTACCTATATCCTTCAGAGTATTTTCTAATTTGTTATATTTTCTTTGAAGTTTAGCGTATTTCGAAAATTCGTCTACCATTGAAATACTTGCCATTTCTTGTCTCAATGTAGCTAAATTTTTACGTAATTCAGCTTCTTCTTTTTTTCCTACATATAAATGTGCTGTAAACTATGACAAAAGATAATCCGGTTAAATATGAGAATAACAAAATGATTCATCAGAATATTTAGAGTTGACATGCATAGTTAATTCTATTATTTGTCATATTAACACTTTAATGCCTTAATTATTTATTTTATACTTACATAAGTTATTACAATCGGCACAATGTATTCTAAAATACAAATTAACGTTGATATCAAAAGTAAATTCATTGTACAATATATTCAACCGAATCGATTTATAACAGAATTCAGTAAGTTATGACATATCTCTTTGTCTGATTTATTTAATTTGATTAATTATGATTATATTAAAATCTATAATGAATACAATAATAAAAAAATTCTTTTTTTAAAACTGTGTTTATCCGATGGTGAATGATTATTGATAGCTAGGTATAATGATTTTGAACAATTAATTTTATTGGTTGTTTCCAAACTTAACAGACGTATCAAGCATTATGATAGTCGGCCGCCATATATAAGTTGGCGGGTAACATTAAATTTGGAGACTGCAAGCGTGTACGATATATGTATATATGTAATGAATTACACGTGTGTATATACTGCAGTACGAATAATAGTGTTTAAATAAATTTCTTTCAAATTTATTCTAAAATGAGTGGCTCAGAGATTGATTACGATAGTGATCAAAAAATATCAAATTCTCACTCTAAACTTTTAGAAGCAGTGGCACAACTCGATAAAGGACAGAGGTAGATATATTTATAGGTTAAGTGTGGTAATAATTTATTGTTGTATTAAATGAAATATTTTTGATACATTTATATACTTTCAAATTATTGATGCTAAGTTTTATATTCTTTAAAAATATGTGATTCATTTTTTAGGGTTAAGAAACCAGAAAGAACAGAACCGACATTAGAAGTATCTGAATTTCATTTAGTTAAAAGTGGAATATCTGATAAAGATGCAGTATCTGTTCAGAATTTAGTAAAGTTGTTAGGAAATAAGGGACATCATACAGAGATAAGTAAGAGATTTAATGCAGCTCAGAAAAAAACTAAAGTTCTTTCTAAGCCATTAGAAAAACCTTCTGCTGATCGTGTATGTAAAATAACATATGATCATTTAAATAGTTTTACACATTGTTTTAACAATTAACTTAAAGTTTATGATTTTTAGATAAAAAGGGTGGTTGGGTTTGAAAAAACTAAACAACAAGTAAAAAAATGGAATGGAATAATTTCATACAACAGAACTGCAGAAAAGGTTTATTTTCCTCTGAATCAACTATCTGTTGAAGTGGAACCGACCACACAGTTTGTTAAAAGATTTAAACTGCAGTCAAATTTAGAAAAACAATTAGCTGCATTAGAACCAGAGCCAGAAAAAGTAGAAGAAAAGGAAGATAAAGTTTCAATGACTTTAGAAGAAGTATTAGAAAGAAGAAAAGAAGCTGCTCGCATGAGAGCTTTACAGGTAAACAAGTGTTTATTATTATTATCAATTATATAAATTTAGAAATAGAGTATATAATTCTTATTGTGAAAGAAAGAAATTTCATGTTTTTTTATTTTATTTTATTTTTTTTTTTAATTTTTAGTCTTACAGAGAAGCAAAAGCATATAGACAAAAAAGAATAAAGAGTAAAAAATTCCACCGTGTTCAGAGAAAGGGAAGGATGAAACAACAACTTAAAGAATATGAGGAATTACAAAAATCAGATCCGCAGGCCGCTTTAGAAAAACTAATGTTGCTTGATAAATCCAGAGCAGAAGAACGAATAACGCTAAGGCATAAAAATACAGGTCAATGGGCAAAGAGTAAACAAATAAGAGCAAAGTATGACAAAGAAACACGTCAAGTTCTTGCACAGCAATTGTCTATTGGTAGAGAATTGACACAACATCTGAAAGTAGCAGATGATAGTAATGATGATGATGATAATGAACAGGATTCAATGCCTTTACAACTTTCTGATAATACAAAAGAAAATCCATGGATAAATGAAGTTAAAACTGAATCGGAAATCAATGAATTTATCAGCAGTTATCGCAAATATTGGGATGGAAAAAATTTAAAAGCAAATAATCAAAATTCTACTTCTCATCAAACAAATAATACGTCTCAGGAAAATGATTTTGAAAGTAAGTAAGAACAAGGTAAAGAGAGAGAAAAGTATATGTATTTTTTTGTTTATGGTAGTAAAATTTGATAGATACGTTTATCTTTACAGATAATAAGACTGTTTTTTCTAAAGGACAATTAATTACTAAAAAGAATGAATTAAAAAAAAACAAGAAATCCTTAATTGCAGATAAAAAAGTAAAAAGTGAGTTTAATGGCATGCTTGATATGAAAGGATCTATAGAAACCATAACGGTAAATAATGATGATAAAATATTGGATAAAGTAGCTGCTACATCTGCTTGGAATGTACAGGAATGTGAGACTTTAAATACTGATGATGTGAAAAGTAACTCAACATTGTTATCTGAGAAAATAGATGAAATGTTTGACCTTATGGAAGATAAAATGCAAAAACGAATTCGTACGCAGATAAGTCGTGTGAAAAGAAAGTTTAATATTGACGTGGAGAAGAAAAATAATAATGACAATGAATCTAATGTAGACGAACCTGATACAGAAGAGTTGGAGTTTAAAAATAAAAAACAAAAACCGATTTTGAATAAGCCTATGGAAGAGGTAATTAAATCTACAAAATCATTAAAAGATGAAGATGTAATTAAATTAAAGAGTTTAGCAAAAAGTATGAATAAAACAACTATTGATGTTTCCAAAAATAAAGATATGGATATAGATCCAAATAAATATATTAATGTAACACCCAAACATTTAAATACTGACTTACCAAATGTTACGACCGATGGAGACGATATTTTAGACGATAACGAAGATGAAGAAGAAATACATAACATAATAAGCGAAGCTTTTGCAGACGATGATGTAGTTGATGAATTTAGAAAAGAAAAAGAAGAAGAGGTATGTATGAAAAGAAAAATGAGAAAATATTAGGATACAAACAATAAATATTCATTTTTATTTTATTATTACTGAAATGCACTAATTCAATTACAGATAAAGAAATCGCAACCAGAGAATATAGATCTTAGTTTACCAGGATGGGGATCTTGGGGTGGAACGAATATAAAACAATCGTACCGTAAAAAGAAACAATTTATTATAAATGTACCAAAAGATGCACCGCGTAAAGATGAAAATAAAGGCGATGTTATAATAATCGAAGACGAGGATGCCAAAATAAGAGAACATCAAGTAAATGAATTACCATTTCCATTTTCAACCGTTAGAGATTTTGAAGCTAGTATCAGGGCACCGATTGGACGAAATTTCGTTCCAGAAAATGATCATAAAAAGTTGATTGAACCTCCTGTACAGACGGCTATGGGAAAAATTATTGAGCCTATGGATGAAAATGTACTGATTGATAAAAAGAAAATTAAGAAACGAAAAAATGTAAACGAAAACAAAACAATTATACCTATTAACAAGAAAAAATCAAAGCAATTGTAACATAGATAATAAAATTATGTAATTTATAATCCAAGTTTTTTATTCATGCATACGTATTTTATAATTTTGTTTATAGAAATATTAAAATATAATAAGAAAATAATTAGAAGTGACCATGAAGAATATTGTCCAGTATATTATATTCAATGACAAAAATAATAAAATATAATAATACATTTTTCTTTTTATACATCTAATTATTCTAATTTCTTTTATTTAACATTTACAGCAATGTAAACTGATATAGTGTAATTTGTCAACTATCTTGAATTTATTTATATAATATAGTTTTACCAATACTTATCTAAGAAATGTTTTCCATAAATGTATAGATAGCTTGAAATTGATGATTATTATAGCAGGTTACGTAAGTGCATACACGATACTTATAATTAATTCATTTTAGAGTATCTTAGTTTCTAAGGTTATTTCATGAAGTAAAGTACACATTTATTAATCCTATGTTATTTTTTATAAGAATTGATTTTGGATAAATTTTAGAAAAAAAATATAAAAAATCAATTTCGCAGATTCATTGTGACGTAGAACACTTTGAACTTTAAAAGGTTGCACGTGTAATGTATTTCAAACTCGAACTTGAACTTAGTTAAACTACGTAATCTTATTTTCACGAACGGCAGGTAAGGAAATTGGTAATTATGGATACGTGAGAAACTTCGTGTACTATCTATATACAATAACAAAATCAATTGCAATACACACAAGTCAATACTTTCCATTTAGATTCCTGATTCGTATACTACGAATTTGTAAAAATGTAGATTCGTTTTATTTGTACGATAAGATTCTCTGATTCATTCTCGTTTTAGATCTAGTTTCGAATTAATTATTAAAGTTCGATCGAGACGATTACTCGCGGGCGTTTGTATTCGTGGAACTTTCGCGCTTTATCTATCGACCAATCAAAGTCGTAATATTCAAAACGAAATAAGTTCGAAAAACCAGTTGCATATTCGACATCTTAAAATTTGAATATGTGGGAGAGATTGTAAAAAATTCGATATGTATAGATTTATTTCAATATTATTTAACCAAATGCTATTTAAGCATTAATTAATTTATATAAGCTTCGTATTAGTACTCGATTATAAATTATAATTTAAAGGTTGTGTTCAATCACTAAAATCTATTATCTTTCTTTTTATATTTTATCTCGTTTTATTTTACAGTTAATTTCATGAAATTCTATTCTGAGGAATGTTTCCCGTTAACAATTGTCGATGCGCAAAACTATAAGCAATTAGTCGAATAAGAAGAACGAACTAAGTTCAGGAACGCGTGATAATGAGGATGCTTGCGTATGTAAAGGTGGTAGGATAACATTGAAGGCGCCATTTACGTGGGAAGTGGGTAAAAGGGGATGAACTCGAATTGCGAGGGTTGGTTAGAATTATTATCGCTATCCAAACTGCCGGCGCCAGGCTGTCAGTTAACATAGGTCAATGCAGATATACGTGTATGTTATATGTATGTACGTAGACATTAAGAGTGGAACACGAGCACCTAGGTCTACCTTGCATATTCGTTAGTTCTTCCAGTCGTATACGTAGGAACACGAAGTAAGATCAACCGGTTTCTGAAAAGCTGATTAATAAGTAACAACGAATATCAAAAAGTAGGGTAATTCATTTTATCTTACGATTATTTGCTTTAAATTATCTTGCTTTTTATACTGAATAATATTTAATAATAGATTGAATTCATTTTTAATAAAATGGTCTGGAAATAATAAAAGAGTGATCTTTAATTTTATTTTCTCTGGAGAATTTCTCGATAAATTTCAACGATATAGAAAACAATAAGTTAAAAAGTCACGAAAGTGGAAATAAATATATCTCAAAGTTAAGATCTTCCATGGATAACATGGATTTAGATTTCAATAGTTAGTTCTATAGTAGCTACACGCAAAGCACGAGCAAAAGTATACTTTCAACAATGCTTAAACAAATATTTAAGTATTTTTAATAGCGTTCTATTTTTGATTGTAAAAATTTTCAGTGAAAACACGACCCTAATCGTCGAAGTGATCATTCAATGACATCTTAACTTCGTGTGAAAAATAACTAATCGATTTCTCATGGAAGATGGCATGTTAAATGAGACTTAATAGGAAAGTTCTCCGATTGTACGGTTATAATTTATTTTCATCGCCTGTTAAAGAATTCTCTTTTCTTAATTCGTTACGCACGAAGTGTCAGGGCTGAATCTTTACGCTTGAAAGAGGATAATAAGATCTCATTTCGTACGAAAGTAAATTTATCACGGAATGTCTCCGTTCAACGGACGATGGTACGCTCTTTCGTCTCGAAATTTCAAATTTTTAAATCGATCATTGTTTATTACGAACTGATAAATCGATCATTTTAATCATTAATCACTATATCTTTTTATCAATCTTAGATAACACTTTACGTTTTCAAAATATTCCCAAGGATTTCAATATAGTAATCACTTATTTGAATCTTTGTGAATCTTCTGATCTTTCAATATCTTTCGATATCATTTTTCCAATGGAGGAATCACGGGCAACGAAAACAAATGAGCACGCACTTACTATATCCGATTCTGTGTCTGATACTAGTACAAGTATGACACCAACAGCATCATTTTCAGGCAAACAGCAATACGATGCGATTCCAAAGAAGTCGACTTATTTGAGAGACAGAGGTATGTTCTAAGTCTGAAAATATATTTTATATTAATACTATGTTGAAGGAGCATATTAAATATACAATATCTATATTTCTTGTAATGTTCGATATAAAAAGAGATTTAATTATAGGATTTCCTACGAAGATATCTTCTTTTGATCGATTTTTCATCGATCATCGTTCGAGAATCACGTTGATCTTTACGGAAAGCAAAATCTCTTTTCTTCTTCGGTGACTCGTATGTAGGTATTTAGTAGGAGGATGTCTTTCACGGAACACTGCTTTCACTCTGTGTCCTTTCCGGTATCGGTCTGTAAGGAAACGAAAGTCTTGCATAGTTAACGAACAACAAAGTGTAACTTATTTTGCGCCCCTTACGTACTGGCGTAACAGCGATTTCTGATTCTAATCGGTCACTGTTCTTCAATACTTTTTATGTAACGAAGTATCGTGCAGGAAACGGGCGAAACGATCTAAGACAGTTTACTAGAAGATGATCAACTGTGAAACGAATAGCTTACTTTCGAAGAAATACTTATAATAGGATTTAACAAATTAACATGCTCGTAAACGTGTTTCTCTTTTTAAATTGTTATATTATCTTTTTGCCATGATTTTCCTTTTTTTATCGTTCCATGGAAAGTAACCTTGAGTATGAAAGGAGAACGCTTAAATTTAAAATCGATCGATAGATATAGTTATTCGAACGTTACTCGAAGAAATGAAAATTTAGACGATGTGTTTGTATAGGTGGGCATACGTATTTTCAGATACATCAGAGATGTGTGCAATCAGCAAATGCAGATGCCTGTTCCGACGTGGATTCGTAATACGATATCTTGATAGCACGCGAGCACGCGATTCTGCGAGAAGCGCCTTAGACGAGTGTTAGATCACGCCAACCCTCTTGCGCTCTACTGAGAACAAGCCGCGTGAATTTATGTACGAAATATGAATCTTCTGGATTCGAAACTTTTGTCTTTAAAATGTATTCCACCCTCTATTTTTCATATTCGTGACGTTACTTTTTTTTTAGTTTTTTCGAACGATTTATCATCAATGGCATGGTATAATTTTATTTCATAGATCTGTTTGATAGACTTTTAGACTATCTGACGGATAGATTTTTTTTATGTAATACGTCTTTTTGCAAAAAATGAATGCTTTGAGGATGGAAATCATAAAAAAATTGATAAAAGTATATGAATAAAATAATTTAATAATACACTTTATAAGTATGTACATATATTTCGATGTAAAAATTATATGTATCTGTCGTAAGAATATTACATTAGTTACATACCTATTTAAGAACCTTTTCACGTTTTTGAATTAGATACGAATAGATGAATATACCTAAGAAGTACCGGTATTATTTTACGAAATATCTATTCGTAATAGATAGGATCACGTAATAATCTCTTCGATCTTCATATAAAGTTATTTTGAAAGAAACAATTTGCTGCCAACAAAAATTTTCTAATTACGATGAATAGTTAGATTTCGCTATAGTTTGCGTAGAGTGACGCAAAAGTTAGAAAATGCGACCGCACCCGAGACTAGAACGAGTGAGACTAACAAGTACGCGATCGTATTAGGGTGGTTCGAACTAGTACGAGAAAAATATGTACGAGCTCTCTACGTGTGCTAAAGCAAATTCCAACGTAGATCGGAAAAGACAGATAGACGTTAGTAGGGCATTTCTATCATTTTCAAAGGTATATAATTGTAGACAGTCTATTTAGACATACGAATTGACATATTTCGTGAGCTCCACCCAAACTTGAGTCAAAGTGTTTGCGCGGATGAGCAGACAAATTGGTTTATATAAAAGGGACATGCTCTTTCGATATTCAATTGATATCCGATAACCGTCGGGCGTGGGTAGTACTGGGTGACACAATCTTAGGAATTCGCTTGAATTTGACGCATTCTTGAATATATCGTAATGTTAGTGAGTCGCAATTGTTGTGGATTGGATTCCGTACGTGAGTAGGTGTACCTATATATAAAAAAGAAATGCATGTAACATCTCTCAGATACGGTTCACGTACAATCATCGAAGGAAGGATCTCAAGATCGCTTATTTAACGTTTAAGAAAAAGAGAGACAAATTAATCAAGTTCGAGGAATGTTACTTTCCACGAGGGCAGCTCGATGCGCAGCACTTATGGCTGAACCGGACGAGCTCTATCCAGGTTTCGAAATTTATGAGAATGATGTATTATTTTTTTTCCCTTTTCTCCTGTAAATTGAGCCTCATAAAAATATTGAAACTGATGAAAATAATGGGATTGTAATATTGGGTTCAACGATTGCAAATGGACTAAATCAAAAGTAAAAAACGAAAAATCAAGTTATACATCTTTTTCAGAGAGGATCATTTATCCAAGAAACACGAGGACCTTGCCGAAAATAGTTGTAGCTGATGGAACGCCAATAGATGAGAAAACTTGTATGGTAATACATTGATTAAATATTTCAATCGCTTAAGTCATTTTATTCATATTCACGACATGAACATAAACATAAACATTTTAGATGTTGAGAACGTTAGTATTTGGTAGTTGTGCTTGTCCACCGAAGGCAGAATGGGCTAGAACTGGTTTGACGTTAAGACCTTACGGTCAGAATTTAGCTTTTGGATTAAGAGCACCTAGGAACACGACTAGAGGTCTCATTACGGCCGTTCAAGCGATCATGTTGAAGAATTTTTTATTTAAGTGTAACGTGCAGGACAGTCGTATTGGTCCCGATATGTAAGTGAAATTAAAATAGAAAAATATCATTATAATTTACGATGGATCGGCGTGGGTTTGTTCATAGCTTGCTGAAGCCTTCATATGACAGACAAGTGGAAGTCCTATGTCTGGCGATATCTGAAATAATTTGGCGTTGCGCCGGTGGCTTCGTTGCACACAATCAGAACAGCAGTTGCATCGCAAGTAGCAACTTCGATATAAAAAGTGTCAGTGTGCCAAAGGCGATAGTGGCATTACCACAAAAGATACCTTATCTGCAACATAGCGTGCAGTATTTTCAGGATGGTTTGACGGAAACGGTAAACCTATTCACATCCTCTTCTCACACTTTTTAACATATAGATTTTCATATTTTTCTCTTATTCAGACACACGTCCTCACCCTCGAGTTTCTCGATTGACCTAGGAAAAAACGAGCTTGGATCGTTTATCAAATGACTTGTCAAGACATGTTGTTGGCATTGTGCCAGCCATTCAAGGGTGTCTTCATTACTTTTGCATTATGATTTGTGTTCCCTTAATAAAGTCTGGAGTGTATAAAATTTTATCTACCCTTGAGCTTTCGATTTCTTAGATTCTTGATGTATGTTTGAACTATTAACCTCGGGAATTACTATTAGGGAATAAAATAGAATTAAATCATAAAGATAGTTGGAAACTAATTTTGCTCGAGGGTAAGCTCGTGACCAAGTTTTCGTAAGCTCGTTTCACGTACATTTTTTCTCGTTTTAGTTACATTTATTTGAGTTCATCTCAATAGAAGATCTTCAAATATTCATCAAAAGGTACTTATACTTGGTAAGTCTCGACATTTCCATCGTAACTTCTAAAACTCAGAATATTAGCGTAATAATAAGAAGTCAGTAATATTAGCGTAAAAAAGAGAATACGTTATTGTAAATAGTTTCAGGATGAAGGAGGACCAGGAGCAAAGTTATTGCTTTACAGTGCTGTTTTATCCAGAGGTCTAGCGAAGTAAGACCATTTTAAATATTTATTGGGTTCATTTTCCGCATTTTTCGTAATATCAAATGTCTAATCGAATCGTTAAGATTTTTATGTCGTTAAGAGGTAATAGCGGATGACAAGATTGACGGTAAAGTTCTAGCAAAACAGTTTTAACAATGCCAATGAAATAGTTGCACGGTTTTTGCTCGTGTTTGTTCAAAGCGTTGCTTGAACGAAATGTAGAGAATATGCCGCTACTAGAAAAATTACGCTCGTCAAACTAACGGCGCACGCGCGATTCGGTCCACAGAGTTCAAAGCGACCTGGAAGATCAGAAAGCTTCTATACTAAGCGGATGTCCTGAGGAGGGACCGATCAGTGTTGTGGTCTTTATGTTGACTGGGCGTGCGTCTCCTCATCTTCATAACGGAATTATTCATATTGGAGATGAGAATACTTATGTACGTTTAAAAGATTGTATTCATGGGCATTTAATTCCTTTGCCATACATTAAAAGTCTTTGAAATTTTTTGATCATTTTCAAGGCTGTTCCACAATGGGGTATTCTCATGAGAAGCGAAGTAGGTCTTCTAGTTCACGAGGGTGATGGTCAAACGAGCAAGGTACCTGGCTCGCGACTGAAAACTCCCAGCTTACCGATATGGGTTACATTATGTCACGGTCATCATGGTGTTCTCTTTAATACGAACAAGGAATTATTAAGGAATTATCATGCAGAAAGAAGGTACTTAAATCTAAATTCATCTAGTCACATTGTTTTTAATCTATCAAACATTAAAATTTGTATTCAAAGATTCGAAGTGCAGTATTTCGCTTGTGGTGGAAGTCACGCCACATTGACCGTGGATACGAGGACGAACGAGAGCGCATCGGGTGTAGAATCCACCAGCAAGGAATCCGTCGACATTGCTGCTACACCATTGGAAAAACTTATTCGTTCCAAGTAAGTTTCACATGTATAGAAATGACTTAATGTAATTGTTGTATATTAAAAGATTGCAAGTTTATTATATATTTTAAGATGGCAGGATGCACAAATACAATGGAACGGAGCACCATTGATGTAAGATCACCACTTATAAACATAAAGTTAGTCTTGGCTTAATTTGAGGTAAGTAAATTTTGACTTGAAATATTAATATTTTCGTATTTTCGAAGCGTGAAAGATGCATTTGAGAATATTTTTTAAATAATTTGCTGGGAAGTTGTTCGATTTCTATATCACAGGACGATGCACAGAAATCGTTGATTTGGAAATGTCAATATATCGTGGGATAGGAAAAAGTAAATCGTTCCATTCCGGGGATGACAATTCGTGTCCCTCGTCGCTGAACCGTCTCGAATCATCCATCCGTGAAATCGACAGTATACCTTTTTCGCATCGTGAGAAATAACCATTTTCATCGTCGTTGCGATTTGCAATTCGCAGCAAATGCTTGAGAAAGAATATGCATCAATCGTTGTATACACGCTTCGATGAAATATTTTTACGAAAGAGCAATATTGACGATATTTTTATAGGTTTTTGGAGAAACGACAACATGGAATCTATTTCGTGATGCCAAAATTTGAATATGATAGATGGAAATTATACGAGAAGAAGAAATTGTTGAATTCTTCGCAGTAAGTTTATTTTATTAGATCATATAAGGAATTATCAATTAAATTATATACTCAATTGTAAGAACAGAATAATAATGATGACATTGCATTACATTAGAATAATATAACAAATATTACACTAATTTCAGAGTTATAAGATTTAACGAAATACATGATTAGGACTTTATTTTACAACAGGATTACCTGTGAATGTAATGATAGTTGGTATTATAACGATACTATTATACTCTATTAGCACATTAATGTAACCTGTATATGTATTTAATAACATATTGTAACATAGTATTAGCAACTGTATTTTGATCTATGTGTGTTAACGTCGTAATTGATTTGAAAATAATATATACTAAAAATATAAAAAATTTTGTTCAAATATCATTGTCCTTAAAATTTATTTAAGAAGTATTCTTTTATTTCGATTAAATTGCATAAACCCAGTAGGATTGTTAAAACTTAAAACGCGAGTAGCTTCAAAGAAACGAATCACGTGAAATAATTGAGCGTTACATCGAAGGAAAGACCGTGTGCAGTGTACTATGGATAGGAAAGCTCTTGAAAGGGGGAATTCAATGGGGATGAAGAAGAGGGGCGGTACGTTACGCACTGTCGCACGCGACTACTCCGCTCTTTGACTGGCTAGCTGGCTGGCTAGTTGGTTGGCTGGTGCGCGCACGCACATACTCACTCACTCACTCACTCACGCACGTACGCACCCCTCGCTTCTTTTTGAGCGAAGGCGAACACCTGTTCGCTTGGTTGTGGTTTGGCCGGACCCCCACTTCCGGCCGAATTGAGGAGATCCAACTTTCCGAGAGCCATCGCTTTGTCCACTACTCGTCTTTCGTAGTACCGAATCAAAGTGCGAGCCTGCTGTTTCGTTTACGAGGAATATCTTACGTTATCGTTCCTTCGATCGAATAGTGCGTGATTTGAAGAAGACAATACAATATCTTATCTATTTTATCGATCGATCATTTTCATCGTCTATTATTTATCGTGATCAATTTTTCTAGATTTTTTTTTAGGAAAAAAGAACGAACAAATTTGCAAGGAAAGTGATCCTAGCTATATATGTGTGTGTATGTGTGAGACAAAGGACAGGTGCATCGTAGAAAACAGGTGGATTATTAGGTCCTATTTATTTTGTTCTTACTTGAGTTACCTCAGAGTTCTATGATTGATGGCTAATACGGTTCCGGAGATAAACGGCGTTCGTGGTGAGTGTAAATGTTACCGGTTTCATTTGTATTTGTTCATAAATTCGTTTATCCTTCTTTTAAGTATACATTTTAATTTAATGATCAATGGGCTTGTTCATTTGATAGAAACGAGAAAGGATTTTAGAGTACCTGAATATTTACGGAAGTTGCTTCACGGAGGTTGCTCATGATATGTTTGGGTTTACGGTGCACGAATTAACAGTACGGTGTCCCAGTGAGCTATATCAGCCCAGTAATGAATTTTGATTTCAGAATTAATTTCTTTATTTTTCTTTTTTTAATTACTTCATTCAGTCACCGACAATGAATTTATTTTACTTGTTAAAATTTAAATTACATTAAAAATTCGATCGATTAATTTCAATACGCGACAAGTATAATACTTTCGAATGGATAGCCTAACAAAGATGTAGCGCAAGATCGAAAGGAAAAGCGAAGAGGAAGGTCGAAGGGGATGGAGTACTCTGCTCGTTGTAGGCACTACTCGCGACTACGAATTTAGAAACGTCTTCTGTAGGAAGTTGCTGCCGGTTCTGCACTTCGATGATGCCAAGAGTCCTACATAACCACGTAATAAAGGAGTTTCTCTGCATGCTTTCTAACCACACGTTATGAACGGTCTCCCCCCCGCATCAATCCAAGTTCGTCGCACCATGTTTATTCGAACTCTATTTTAACGAATAATTCGACCATGTTACATCAATTAATACGCATCATCGATTTCGCATTCGATGAGAACGTACATATATAGATAGAATGCGAAGAGCCCTCTTTCGTTTCCTTTTAACGAGAGAGCATAATTCGAAAGATACGTTTAAGTATCGTTCGCATTTCGTTCATTCTCCTTAGCATATTCGGCATAGTTCGATAGGATCGCTCGGTTCTTTCTACTGTTCCGTGGTCATCGATGTAAAACAAGCTCTCTCGTTACAGATGCATCAGGCAAGATCCGAGCCGGTGGATTATGACATTGAGTCGCTATGGGGACCAGCTTACAAAAGATCGTGCCTCTTCTTTCCTGCATGCTCCAATTTATTGCCGGACAATGTGAGTGAACTGAATAGTTCTTTTTTTCCTTTCGTACGAAATAATACTTTGCTCGAGGAAAGAAAAGAAGCTTGAAGAGTCTCGAGAAAGCTTAGAAAAGCAAAAGTTAGTCGAAGGTCTCGAAGCAGAGCCTAGTAGAGTTTACAAACGAACCGAGTTTGCCTTACGATTAGCCGGAACTCCGCTCCAGGGAAGCGCGTATATCTACCCTCCCGCATACCTTCGTTCGTATGTAACTTCACCATACTTGCGTACATATACAGGCGCAAGCAAAAGGTGCCCACGTAAATGGCGCGTTCGTCCATCCGCGATTCGCTTACATCGTTTTTGCGTCGTTCAAACACGAACGCTACTGCGAAAGACTTGCTAACAGTTTGTTCGATAAGAATATACGGTACCAGAATACGGAATAAGAATACGATAACTATGCACATATCGTGTATTTTAAAAAATCTAATTTGTTTATTATTAATAATTGAAAAAATTCATTTTGTTTATTTGCTATTAAAAAAGAAATAGATATGTTCTCTGAACGAATCTTCTTTTTTTCTGTATTTTCTTTTTCTTTAACGAAAATTCTGCTATGAATTTATCGTGTTTCATTTACTGTATGATATAAAAAGAATTGAACGTATATATATCTGTACGAATCCATAGATATGCGTTGGTTCAAGCAGGACGTTGTGAAAGCCGAGAGACATCCGGCATGCGCGGTACCAAGCGAAATTCGATGAAAAAGGACATCTAACGTTACACTCAGTGTTGTCTCGATTTCATCAAGTAGTTTGATATAAAAAATTTCATGAAATATCTAGCCATGCTTGGGTGCTTGAATGCACCAATGCTCGAGGACGGCACCGCCCATTCTTTCACTTATCTATTCAAATGTTCCCTCGAGAAATTTTTATTTGTTATATTATTGAATATTTATCTATTTTATTTTTAAATATAATTTTAGATTGATAAATAGGGAATATGTAGTTGTACGAAAAATGTTTACTTCTTTAAATTCGATGTAAAATTGTCACGGATATGACTTTTGTTAAGCCGAAATATATAGGTCAAAGTTTTTGTGTCACAAGTACTGTCGAAAACCGGTATTAATTCGATGGAAAGCCGGAAACCATAAATGACACTGACGCTAGCCCTACGTATACATATATTCTATCGTGAGAAAATTCTTTGGTATGTAAGCGATCGCTGTGTAAAATCTCAAAAGTACACAATAGGTCGATCATGAATTAAAATTGCAAATTCTTCGATTGCACTCTGATCCATATTGTTGTTCTACACTTAAGGCCTTCCATGACCCATATTTTTCTTTATTCTTTTATCTTATCTTTCTTTCATGATCGTGTGATACATTTGACGTTGAATAGTGATCCGAGACACGAGATGTTTTTTGGAAAACGGTGCAACGGCGGCTCATCTCTTTGTCAACGAGGATCACGCAGTTGGCGATATCGTCGGCGTTCTTGGTGTCTTGGGAGATCCAGGACCACACGGAGACATTAAGTTGAGACTTCAAGAACTTGATAGTCCTGTCGAGTTTTCACCTTATTCGAAAAATTTAACATTAACTAGACCACTGGATAAAGAAGGTGTTGATGGACCTGCCAGCGTTTACGTTAACGTTATTTGCGAAAGAAAACGTACTTTAGATCCCGTTAGTATTATCTTACCTCGGAAAGATCGATCGAGAAATTAATGCTAACATTGTTTACCGTATTCTATCTTTCTTCTAGGGTTTCGTGATACCAGTTAATATTCGCGTGACTGATGCCAATGATAATGCGCCTCAATTCGTGAACGCTCCTTACGTATTGAATATTTCTGAGGTAAGAGGAACATCGGATTTTTTTATTTTCTGTTTTAATAGGTTCATTGTCCTTTGATATGATCGTTATAGAAGAAAAGACCATGATATCTAGATTTGCTCTCTATGTTGTTTAATTTCGTTTCAATGAACAAGCATCTAATTAAAGTGCAATAAACTCAATGCGCATAAACGTCATACATCCGTTTGATTTTCAGGTCACGGTCGTTGGCACAAGAGTATTGCAGGGTGTCCGAGCAGTGGATGCAGATCAACCAGGGCCTTATTCTACCGTGCAATATGCCGTTTTACCGGGACCTCATTCGGTAAATAGCATTATTGTTCTTTGTCTATTCGTATTCTTTTAGACATCAGTTGTTGACGTATCTTCAATTTTTATGTAGGAATATTTCGTTTTTGTGAATGCGTTAGAAGGCACGTTAGTATTAAGAAAACCTTTGGATTACGAAGCTCTTACAAATTTCTCCATTGATATTCGAGCACAAGTAAGTTTACTGATATTTTTATCAAATATTAGTAAATGTCAGATGATGAATTATATTATTTCATTTTCTTTTGTAGGATCAAGGTAATCCTCCACGATCCTCGACCACGACGTTATACGTGAACGTCATCGATGCCGATGATCAAAATCCTTCGTTTCTCAATGATCAGTACAAAGTCAAACTTCCTTCGCAAATTAAAACGGTAAATGCCGATAAAATCTAGTGATACTTCTACATAGTTTTGAAAGAGGAATAGGCAAATTAATAAATAGATATTTTATCATATAGAGAACAGTTTTGAAAGTGGAGCCAGCATCGATAAAGGCTGTTGATCAAGACGTTGGTATAAATGCTCCTGTTAGATATACCATTCAAGGAGGAATTTTACCTTTTCTTCTTTTAAATCCTGACACTGCCGAAATAGTTATTATACGATCGTTGCAAGAAAATGAACTCTTGTCGCCTGCTACGATCGTCGTTAAAGTGAGTTATCTTGCCATCTTTTTATAAATCCTTAATGTATTTTTTTCTCCTTAAAAAGACATAAAAAAATTAACAAATGTCTGTATCGTATCCTGTTTTATAAGATACGGTTTCTAATTTTGTCATTGGATTCTTAGGCTACTCAGATAGACAATCCTGATAGATATGCATTGGCGACTATCGTTGTATCTCGAGAGGATACTTATGGAACAGGTCCTACTGCAGGTAAATCATTACTATAATGACTTTGTCATACTATTAATTGTAATTGCGAATAATTTGAATTTGAATTAAGGTATTTACGGTTGACATATTACGTATATAATCATCACATATTTTTTTTTAAATTATTAAAAATAATTGACTTGATTATTGACACAATATGTTTCAATTAGGTGGCCGAGTACCTACGAAGTTCACGCTAAAAGATTATCAAATAAAAATTCCGGAGAATACACCGCCTGGTAGCGTTATTCTAACTATGAGCGTCAATAGAGCTGATTCTGTAAGTATTCATTATAATGCAATGTGTTTAAATATGTATTTTCGTGTAAAAGAAGATTGTTGTCAATGTTTTAGCTATTAAGATTTTGGCTTGTTGGAGCAGTTGAAGATTTGGAAAGGTTCTCCGTAACTCCTTCTGGCGAATTAATTTTGAAGGGTACTCTTGATTATGAGAAAAGAACTCAACATAGTTTTCTAGTTCAAGTTACTGATGGTTACTTTGTACGTTTATTTCAACTTCTTTTAAAAACTTGTTTATTTTTATTACCGATATTTATTTTAATTATTTCATATAGAACGATACATCCAGAGTCAATGTATCGATTGAGGATGTGAATGAATGGGAACCACGATTTCGACATCCCAGATATGAATTCCATGCTCGTTCTTTAAAAGAAGGATCTATTGTCGGTAAGTTGTATTCACAGTTAACATTGTATATAACAAATGTTTTATAAGCCAATTATTTTTGTATTTTATGTATTATTTTGAAAAGAATATCGACTACATATGAATTTTTAGGAAGATTGGAAGCCGCGGATGGCGACAGAGACGATATGATTCGATTGTCTTTAAGAGGTCCAGATGCAAGGTATTTTATTTTTAAATTACAATACTTATTTACATATAAGATTTATTTTTTCAGCGAAAAAAATTATCGCTAAATGAATTAAGTAACAATTCATTTCTATTATAATAATATATGAAATTTTAGGTCATTTGAAATACATGACAATGGTGAGTTGATTTTAAGATCTGTGAATACCATAAATGGTTCAATGGCTCGTTTAGTAGCAGTTGTTTCGGATTCAGGACGTCCTCCAAGGTACATATTTAGTTTAGATTTAAAATTGCTTTCTGAGATATAATCATTTCTTGGATGATAAACATTTCCATTTTAGATCGAGCATGGTACCTGTAATAGTTCATATACCGAACGGTGCCTCCTTACCCGTAGCAGCAAGGGCTGCACCTGCTTGGTTGGGAAGCAGTGTTCTTTTAGTAGCAGTTTTTGGAGCTGTTTTAGGACTACTTGGAGTTGTTATACTTATTCTTATTCTTTACATATATAAACAGTAAGTAAACTAAAAATGTAGATAGTATAAAAAAAGGAAATATTATCATGGATAGGCTAATAATAAAATTCTAAAAATGCTTGGCAGCAAAGGGAGCAAAAGTGGTGGATCTGTAAGTTCCGTTGGAACCGGATATCGCGAGAAATCGCCGGTGCCATCAGCTTTAAGTCCAACGCCACAAGTATTAGGAGCCAGTGCTCTTCAAGATACTTCAGAGAACAGCTACAGGAAGCGTTCTACCACGAATGAGAGTGGAAGTAACGTTAACGAGACCGTCACCGATCTCGACGCACCTGGTTTCGGAGAATTGAACGAGCGAGCCTACGCCGCCACGATCAAAAGTATGTTCCCGTCACGAGTAATTCATGACGGTACGATGCGCTCTTCGCACCGTTTCGAACGGCGATTCGTACGAGCTAGCTCAAGTATGTCCGGAAGAAGCCACGTTACGAGTCTCAATCCTTTCTTCTCGACGATCGATGAAAATCGGCTTAGATATTATTGGCTTTGATTCGTGTTATATTTTTGTCTTCCATTAATCATCGAATATCAAACGAATGTCGGCCAAGACGAGGAAACTTTTTGCGATAAAGTTTAGGAAAAGATAAGTAAAAATTCGAATTGAAATTGTTCATAGTAAAAACACTTTTTTTCTTTTGTTATATTGATCATCGATAAACTTGTATAATACAATATAATAATATGTAAAATACTGATTATATTCATTCGATGTCGTACTATAACAAAAATCGATTGAATGTAAAAGAAAGAAGGGTTGAGTGCACTGGGAACTTCATTAGTTCACTACTAAATATTATTGGGTGCAGGTGTCGCATCGGCTAGACAGCTACCTCTCTATGCTAGGCATAAGATCGCACCAGCCCCGAATCCACCTGCCTTATCAGCAACCTCAAACATTCCAAATATCGGCGGTCTTGTTCAAAACATGAATGACTTGAGTGCAAGGAGCAATCTCGATGCAACTTCCCACGATTCATCCACTTGCTCCGGTGACCCACCGGACTCTCTGATGACTGTCTGGCCAGTAGGATCTATGTCTCCGAGAGTTAAGAAACTTTCCTGGGACGACGACGATAGGGTAAGTTCAAATATTTCCTTAGTATCAAGATGGACAACCGAATCATGTCAAAATGATGAAATATATAGATCAAATATTTATTATTGGACAAAACTGAATATATAATATTTTATTGCAGACTGTGGAAAGTATCGACGTAAGAGCAGAAACCAGGCCAGGAAGCACTAAAACTGAGACCGAACGTCTAAATCTTACCGTTTATTTTTGAAATTGAATTCGAGATACGATATTGCTTTTTCTACACTTCGCATTGAAAAAAAGTGTGTGTCATTGTTAATATCATTACAACTTATTTGAATAGGAAAAACGTATTTTTTTTTTCTTCGGATTGCGAAAGACAATAATATTATTATATCAGAATCGAAGATATTGATTTTAATTCGTATAAATTGGAATTAATATTGGATAAATTGTAATCAATATCTTTGATTAATAATAAGAATTCATTCTACGGTCGGGTAATACATTGTACGATCACGTATCGCTTTATCTATATTCTTGTTTATTCATACGATTAGATACTGAAGCATACATATTAACACAAATGGTTTTCAACTCTACGTAATCGAGACGATCATCGAGGTCAGTAGGTCGATCTTTGCGGACGATCACTTATTCAGGAGGTAGACCCGGATTTTGCGATATCATGATCGAGCCGAAATAAAGGGACCAATCCGTAGTTCGAAAAAATTTCGGATATTGCGGATATGTATATGTGTATGTATATATATATAATATATATATATATATATATATATATATATATATATATATATTATAGATATACATATATATATTATAATTATATAATATATATATATTATTATAAAAACATGTTTGTAAATATCGAAGTAAATACTTCTAAGTAGAAAGTGTCGAGTTACCAATGATCATTAATCTTCGTTTAAGATTCTTTGGTGCATCATAAAGATCAATTTAACGCATAAGTTTGAAGATATAAATGAAAGATTATGTCATTAAATATCGTTGTTATAATCTTTCGAAAAATGATAATAAACTTTATGAAAAAAATGAATTAATCATTGAAGAATTACATATACATCTAACGTTCATTATAACGCGCATCAATCGATTGATTTCTTTTATTTTCCTTGAGAGTATCTTTTCTCATAGGAGCAATCGTATAGAATGACATTATAAACGAACTTGTAAAAGAAAGTGACTTGTTTTTCGAGGAGGGGAGAAAGTGACCCAGAGAAGTCTTCGGCTGATCATCCTTTCGGATCGTTTATCGTCAGTCGTACGTTGAACATTCACGTGTAGAGAAGACAACATTTTGAATGGATTAATGCGGAAGTATTAATATTCTTATTTGAGAGAATATCGTTTTGATAAAATTAAAAGTTTTGTAAGTTATGTACATATAAATTGTAATCTTGTAAATTGTAAAAATCTATTGGAATATTTATTTTATTCATCACCATTGTGCTTCTAAGGTATGCAACAGACATACGCGGAGAAAGCGGAAAATTCCAATCATTATCAGTGTCTAAGAGTGTGATTAATTATGACGCAGTATGTTTATTTTCTGCTTATAGATATATAAATAAAAAATTTTTTTCATTTTATTTTTATTTTATAATTAATTTATTTTTCTTATCAAATTGCAGTACTATCATGAGGCAATCAAAATACTTACGTACATTTCTATCGATTTTATTGATGACATCGGCAGTAATCATCATAGAAATTTCGGGTACATTATCAAAGAGGAAATTTATTTTACTTCGATAATTTATCTCACTCTATAAGAGATTAAGGAATGGTACAAAATAATTTATTATAATTAATTATCACGAGCTTTTGTTAATTTTGTATTTTGTACAACTATTGTTAGCTGAATCTTCTTTTACGAAATCAACAAACGACACGAATATACCTGAAAGTCGTAGAATAGGACCTTGGAGCGAAATTTTAGAAGATTGGATTGTCACTGCCGCGAATCCTGGCATGTCAAGAATATCGAAGGTAATGAAATTAAATGACAAAGTATTAACAGTATCGACCAAGGGAACACAGAATAAGAGAGACGTTTCTGAGACAGACATTTACTTACTCGGTAATGATAATAATCTTATATGGACATTTCCTTTGGATCATTTTACAGAAACTCTAGTTAATATTTTTATTTTCAGGTGCAATTGAGAAACTTGTATACAGAGTGGATTACGTAGAAAAACGTCTCAGGAGAGCTGAAGAACTTTTGTATTATGTTATTTCTGGATCTACCGCTAACAAAGGTAAATAAGATAGTTATGTCTTTAGTAAACAAATCTTCTTTTTACATTTTTATTGATAATAAAAATCTTATAGATTCCTGCCCATCGAACTACACGAGCATCGGTCAGTATTGCTATTATTTCAGTGATCGTGAATACGATTGGAAGTCATCCGCCAGTCTTTGCCGAGGTATGGGAGGTCATTTGGTCGAATTCGAAACCATTGTTGAAAATCAGGATGTAATTTCGTATCTCCAAGGAAATGCGAAGCTCAAAGGCAAAAACTTTTGGACAGGTGGTTTGAACCCTGGCCTTTTATGGATCTGGGCCGGAAGTGCCAGACCTATTCATAATGATACAAAACAAGCTGTCGTTGGAAACGGCAGGTTATTAACAATCATAATTCTTTATATTTCATTCTGTTCAATTTCTTGTTTTTCAACGTAAATATTTTAGGTGTCTAAAATTGTCCTACGATCTATCTTCAAAGATTTATTCTTATAAGGGTGAAGAATGTGCGTCAAGACAGAAATTCATTTGCGAATTGACCACAGACGACGAGTCAGCGAATAAAATTGAGAGAACAGCACGAATGTTATCCGATACTGTCAATTGAGTCCAAAGATTCCTCTAGAATTGTTTTATTATTTATATGAAATACAATACACATTCGATTTCCAAAAATTTCTTTTTTATATATCGCGTGTCGTGTATTCAATTTCGTTAATCGGTATACAATATCGTTACGAATGCGTTTGAATTCCATGCATTAAGTTTTTAATAACATTTTATTCATTTAATTTAGATATCCTGAAAGATATAGACATTGGTGAATTTAGTCTTCAAGAGTTCTAAAATGTTTTTTTAATGGGGTTCTAAAATTTTTAGATTTAACTCTTTATGTAATTGATGAAGTCAGAATTTGATTACCGCAAATACAGAAATAAAAATTATAAAATAAAAATTATGTAAATTATTATATCAAGTATTAAATTAAAAATATATCGCCTCCATTTTCTGCCAGTAAATCTGCTGCCATTACATATATATATAGCTATTATTTAATAAAAAATATTTATTTAAAAAAAAAATGGATTTATTTTGGAAGAATACTTTGAAAAATTATTAAACTACTAATACTTGATTTAAAGAATATGACAAGAGCTAAGATTAAAAGAACCGTTTCGTTAGAATTAACATCGTTTCTATCTATGATTATGAAGAACAGATTAGTTCACTAATGCGTTTTTGTCATCAATGGAAATACAAGTTTTTACAGAAGGCTTGTTCGAAGCGTGATGATCAAGAATCAAACTTCGTTTTCCTTCGTTTACAAGAGACAAAACGTGATTACTATTTGTCACCAAACCACCGTTTTCCATAATTAATTTTTTAGCTTCTTCTGTTTTGTTCTTATCGATACCGCGGCAGCTATCCTCGATCATAATGACATTATAGCCCAGTTTCAATCCCTCGAGACATGTTTCTTTCACGCAAACGTCTGAGGCCAATCCACAAATGTACAAATCTGTGGCTTTGATTTTCGATAAAATTATTTCCTGATTTTCTTTTGTGAAAATCGAGTAAGCATCGCTATCTGGATCTTGGCCCTTATATATCTTAAATAGAATACAATGTATATATAACAAGAATAACTATAGATGTTTTCAAGAGTAAATAGTATTAATGGAAACTTTATTGTACATACTTGTATAGAGTTTGGTAATATATATAGATCATTATTTAATTTTGCGCCCCATGAGTTCATTACACAATGTTTTGGCCAAAGTATTTGTTCTATGTGCGGTTTTAAAAAAGTAACGGTATTAAATGGCTTAGCTTTTTCTTTTGTAATCTACAAATAAAAAAAACTATTCTTTTTTACTGACGTTGATTAATGGATACGTGCACCTATTACATAACAATGAAAAGAGTTACGTCATGTTAAGTAAAGTTACGTTAGTATAATTAGAGTTACGTCAATATTGGGTATTTAGGTACCTATTATAAATGTTAAAATTTGAGATATACATACTTTAGATGACGGATGAAGTTTTCGTTTAGCAAGATTGTCGTAAAAACTAATGTGGTTCTCAGGATGCCAATCGAATGAATAAATAACTTGGTCCCAACGAGCTTGTTTCAACAAACGATTAATTGGTTTTATTACTTCGTAACCCGTTCGATTAGGTAATGCTAAATTTCCATCAATAAAGTCGTTTTGTACATCGACTACTATTAATACATTTACAGGTTTTTTTTTAATCCATTTTGTAAAGCATCTATTAAGAGTAGAACGATTATATAAGTGCAATAGTTACATATACATATATATATATATATATTTATATATATTATAATAATAATAGACACGGTTGAATGAGAAATAATTTTGTATTGACCTTCAGAAAAATTATTTCTTACATCTTTCGTTTTTTTTTTTAACAAATTTGAAATCGTTTATATTTCGCGCCAAATTTTTTATTAATAGTGCGTCAAACTTTGAATATGTTTAGTGAATATTTCTTCGACATTATCATTACAATATTTCATTCCCAATTTATTTCTACGTAAAATATATATATCTACATATAAAGAATATTATTGATTAACATGCTGCCGTGAAAAAAAATTAAATAAAGCACAAAATAGAGCAAATCCTTTCGTTATGCTACTCGTTTGTTATGTTTATCGTTCGCTGACTCAGAACATGAGCAGACATATAAATCAAATCCAAACGTATATTTAACCACAGACAAAACATAAAATTTAATACTTTGTCATGTCATATTAATTATTGATCTATTATTCAAGTATTATTAAATAAGTACAATTAAAATTATAATCAATGTAAAATTCCTAATTACCGGTGGAATATAAAAAGCGATAATAGTAATTATAGTCATCGTTTATAATGAAAAGTTTTTAACTTTTAAAAGTTTAAAATTAAATATAATATATCGAAAACAGATTTCAAAAAATTTGATAAATATAGATAAATATTTTAGCGATTATATCACATAAAATAGATTATATACATAAAATTATATCACATAAAATTATACGATACCTTATCCATTTTGATATTTCTAATCCTTTCTGATCATTCAAGCTAAATATCTTGAACATTTCTTTAACTCTCCATTCATTTTCATTGACTTCTTTTTCATCGTAAAGTTCCTTGCATAAAAGAAAAAATTTTTTTTCATCGATTATACTGTCTTTGTTTAAATCAAATGTTTTGAAAATATTATCGGCTGATGTCCAATCAATTTCTTTTGTCATATTGATTACAGTGTTAAAGAAAATTATATAAATATCATGAAACAATAATTGTTCGGAGATTTTAACTAAATATAACGAAAGATGAAGAAGAAATTATACTGCACGAAATGATGTGTTTGCGAACACTTTCATCAAAGCAACTGACGCGAATTACTTCGAGCTTGCCTTTAAATACTAATCTGTAGACACGATATGTAATATTTGTTCATACTACTTTATAAATTGATAAAAATGATATACTAATTTTAATATTGATAGTATTATTGAAATTAATTTTTGGGAAAGTAATTAAATTTGTACAGAAATTTGTCATTCCATACGTTAGTTTCTTATATAGAAAATCAATATTCTTTTGATATTCAATCAGCGACTTCTATCGTCTTTCGTGCGAAACATTTTTTTCTTCGTTTTTTTACAAATAGAATATTTTTAATTTAAATATTTAAGCCGTTTATTTTGAAAGTGGCCTAACTCCATTTATCAATTTTTTCCGGTTGCTATAATTACATGTACAACTTCATGTTATTTATCAGTAAAGCATTTCAAATTGCTTATATTCCGAATAAATACGATAATTCTTGACAAATTCTTGACACAAGTTTTCAGATTCAGTTCAATAATTGAACCGTGTAGTTTGAAAGTGGCCTAACACCATTTATACTTATAAGAAATAGTAACTAATGATTTAAAAAAAAATCGAATAAGAAACAAAATTATAAAACAATATTCGTCTTAAAAAAAAGAAAAAAAAAACATTATAGAAAGACACATTATAGCTTACAGTGACATGTGCGCCGGGCAAAATAGAAACATTAAAGTAGTTTTAATGTGGTTAAAAATTGCCCAAACTTCGAAAAATAATGTAGAAATTATAGATCACAAATTTTTAATATCAGGACATTCGTTTTTACCAAATGATAGAGATTTGAGCGTGGTAGAAATTGCATTAAAAAAAAAAATAATTTACTGTTTGTTCTCTAAGATTATTACAAGATTATTAAAAAGTGTCGGAAAGGTAATAACTTTATTGTAAATGAAATGAGACAAGATTTTGTATTAACAAAATTATTAGAAGACGCAATTTTTAAAAGGGTAAAGAATTCTGATGGAGAATCAATAAACTGGTTAAAAATGTTGGATGTATTTTGTCAGAAATAAACCGTATAAAATTTTCTATAAGACACCAATGAATAAAAATGAAAATTTTAAAGTCCTGAATTTATTACCACGTCGGGGTAGACCAAGAAAGTTCGAAAATATTGTATTGACACCACTGTATAAAAATATCAGACAAATTACAACAGCAAAATTCAAGGACATAATTGACCTATTACGATATATACCACCGTAACATCATGATTTCTTCAAATCCCTTTCACACAAAATCTAGATGAGTAGTAAATTGTTTTGTAATAAATTTATGTTTGCAATTTTCTACGTTATGTAGTTAAAAAATGTTTTGAATCGCATAAATTATGTTTTCGAAGTGTTTTAAAGATATGTAAAATAAATTTAGTATTGTTTTTTTCAATTTGAAGCATCTTAAATTATATTGAATGAACTTGGGCACCTTCAAATTTTATAATGAATCTGATTGTTAATTTTGAAAGTGGCCTAACTCCATTCTTGATAAGAAAACGCATATTATTCACTTAATAATTGCCACTATTTTAATAGGAACTATTTTAATAATTCATTCCTGTTTCTTTATCCATTAGGATGAAATATTTAAATATTGAAGCTTAAGTATTCTATATTGATATGCTCAATGACAATTGTATATTAATAGAAATACTTCTTGTAATTTATGTACAAATATATATTTTATTTGTCATTGTATTAAGGCATAAATTTATAATACTATTTCCTGGTTTCATTTTTTTTAATCGCTTATCAAGTGATAAATATACAAATTTTACACGTATAGTATACAAATTATTCCATCTAGTTGTGTGTGTATTAACAGCAATATCAATATATACAACCACAAAGCAATATGTGGTTAAATCAAAAGTTGATATAATTTATATCACTATAAATTATTTTTATAAATAAAACAATCCTGATTTATCAAATTGCAATTCTACTTCTTTGTATAATATTAACGTTTAATATTTAAGTAACATAATAATAGTAAACACTATTATTTTTACTTCTGCTCTTTAATTTTTATTACGTTCTTTTGTGTATGCTTTTAGTATATACTATTGTGTATGTTTACATATTATATAACTGAACATAATAATAATTACGTATATTGTTACGTAACATTTGTATAAATTAGTAAAATGTACAGTTTCTAAATAAATAAAACTGTAAAACAAGATCTTATCTGATGTATTAAATCTATGTATTTAAAAATTAAATTCATATTTTAATCTGTTGTCATTCTGTTTTATTTAAATTAGAAAATAAAGTATTTCTTTCAATATTAATTTCAGCAGCAACTTTGTTGATGAATGGATGTTTAATTTTATCTAGAGATGATGAAAAAAACTCTTGTAATTTACCAGGGATATTGTCTCGTTTCTCATATTCATATGCTTGCATAATTAAATCCAGTCTGTCCAAATCTTTCACATATTGAGCTTCTGGAGACTCTTGCTTTTCATATTCCTATATATAAAAAAATAAAAAATATACATATATAATCATATAAAAACATAAATCAATATTTTTATACTATTTTATTTAATTAATAGAATTCTTTTAAAATATATCAGGACGAATAAGATGTAAAAAATAATAGCTTACACGAAACATTTGTAATATAATTGGACCTTTATCGCCTAAGAGTTGACAAATTTCTTCCATTGCAGCATCTTCTCGTCTATGTTTTTCCTCAGGAGAAATACCACAAATGGGTGTTATATCCCCAACAATACATTCAGCTAAATCATGAATTAGAGTCATTTGCATAATTCTAAAAATAATATTACAACTTTCTATTAGTCAATCTTTCAAATAATACATTAAATGGATTATGCTAAAACAGGGAATAATGCTAGTTTTGCAAAAATAAAAAGAAATTCATTTCTTACTTGTTTTTATCTAAATTATCTTCACTATCTGCTAATAAAGAAAGAATAGCCATCCTGTACATATGTCCTGCTATTGTTTCAGGATCAGGAATGTTTCTTAACACCCATCCAGTTCTTTTCATATGCTGAAAATTTAAAAGAAAAAAGAAAGTAATTATTAAAAGTTAATATATTATTACATAATAACATTATTGGATATTACTATTACATAATAAAATTATAAGTTGAGAAAATATATCATTTTGACTCGCGCAGACAACTCAAACAAAGACATTTGGGTTTAGTAAACACGTGAAAAACGTCAATGTCCACATACTTTAAATGGCACACATGTATTTAACTAACTTTAATTATAAGTGATTAATACCTTCAGACGTCCAACCAATTCCATAAATTCATGTATCTTTTTCACATCCATTATTAATAATTTTTCTTTGTACGATTCAGTCTAGTAACTCTACTTTCGAATACATAGAAATGTCATTAATGTATGATATACCAAGATAGTGAAACAGTTGCTCTATATCCGTACTTCTAAGAAATGATTTTTCTCGTCTATGATTGGTCAATATTTTGCTTAAGGAAACAACATTATCTAATCAATTTTCATGATTTCTTTATTATAATTATTCCATTATACAACAGTTTTTTATATTTTCATATTGTTATACTGATATACCTTTAATTTTATAATTTTAATATTAGAATAAAAATAATTTTTTTGTTAAAATTAAAAAATAATTATACTAATTTAAGTTTTCATCGTTTATTGAATAAGAGAATATATATATATTTTTTTTATTTGTATATATTTTATATATTATATATATATATATATATATATATATATATAGATTTTATTTCGTATACTCCTCTTTTTTTCGATCTTTGAATCATGTGTTCAATTTGATCAAATAATGCTGCGTATTGCGCGTATGGGATTGGTCGTTTTAATTGTTAAATAACATAATGAATAGATGAGAAAAATGACAGAGAAACTTTTGTCTTAAAATTTTACCTTCTTTCATCTACTCAAAGATCAATTAATAATTTTGGGACATCCTATACATGTGTGTATTTGGAACACTCAAAATATAGCATGTGCTCCTATACATACATACATAACAGAGAGGGAGAGAGAAAGAGAGAGAGAGAGAGAGAGAGAGAGAGAGAATGAGTGAGAGGGCAGAGTAGAGACAAAAACAAAGACAGAACAGAAATGGAGACAGATTGATATGTACATATAAATATAATGTGTGTTTGTGTATATATATAAATACATACATATAAAAGTTCTCTAGATCTTCGTCTTCAAATATTATTTATTAAAATACAATTCGTTATCATTTCTTTTTTGTAGTAAATTTCTTTTGTTTACGATTTTAAATATCATACATTAACTTTCAAATACATAAAATATCTATGTATTTATTTTTGGTTATATTCAATGATTTAAAAAATCGATAAAGAAAGGAGAGGAAGGTCGTGGAAAAATGTTCAATCTAATTGTATTAGTTTCATCGTTTCGAAATGCAAATAAGCTTTTGACCGTTAACTCCTGCCTTAATAGGATAGAACTGACTGCTGGTTTTAATTAAAATCATTTAACAAAGAGAGAGGATACATCGTTTTTTTACATAACACGATTCAATCAATTGTGTTTCTTTGTCAATTGTCGTTGATCGAGAAACTTCAAACATACGAAAGAAACATTTTCTGTTAAAATCTATGATTTTATTGATTATATATTGATTCATATTTCAAAATTCATATTTGAAGTTGCGAGTCATTTTTATTAATTTATCTGAACATTTCAAGATTAGTTTCGAATCAGTTCATATTCTATAATAAATTTAAATTGTTTAACATTTATTTTAGTTTCAACCTTCAGTTAATAATATGCATTCATTACATAGCAAAGATTCGATACTGAAGGCATATATACGTTTCCTTAAAATCAATTGACGACGTTCACCGATAAAGAATTCGGGCTATAGATGGAATGCGGTTTTGGACATCGTCCAAAAAGTAAAATTGTGTCTCCTTGTGTCGATATTAGATGGACTCATAGATGTATTTTTTTTTTTTCTTTACAATGGAAATGATGTATCATTATCAACGCATCATTTTTTTTGTCATAATAACATTTTTAAATTTCATATAATCGATTTTGTGTATGTAATAAGATGTGCTTTGTAATGAAAACTTCGCATTATAAATTATATTTCCTTTTCTTCGTATAATTTAAATTATTGTTCATTATATATAATTTTTTTTTTGTGCATTCTTTTTAATATGATTTTGCATTGTTTTTATTTGCAACGGATCAAATAATCAAATGGTAATATCTGTTATTATACATATAAACGATATGAAAGACCACGATATATTCAATGACCTTCATATTGTTAGTGTAGTCGCGCAGACATAAATTTCCGCAATGACGCGCGATTACGCGCGTACGATTAAGCAAAGGAAGTGTGCGATGGTTACGTGGTTATTTAGTAACGCGCTCGACACAAACGCTCTTTTGCTTATCTACGGAATACCCTAACCAATCGATATAAGAACGGTGATATCGTTCATCGTTAAGAATTTATTTTTTGTAAATATGTCAAATAGATTACTCAGATCTTTATGCATTTTTTTTTTCTATTGTAGATTTACATATGGTTTCAATAGATTTCAACCAGATAAGATCGATCAATCAATGAAAACGAATAAACGAAACGATCCAAAATCAGATTTATTAGAAAGTTCAAGGATACATCTACGCAAGACTTGGATACTATTATCTCAAATTGCAATCAATAAATAGAGACGGCGCCAAAACTTATTTTTATTTTCCACTGTTATAGTCATATTTGCTGTAAGAGAAGATACAAAATGTTTTACATACAATATATTGATTAACATCTTTTTTGATATAAATTACACTCATATATATATATGTATATATATATATATATATATATATATATATATATATATATAGATTTGTTTATAAAATCAAACAAATGCATTTATTTCTTGGCAATTTTATGAAAAAAAAAATTAACCCTTTAATGGTGTATAATATTATCTCGGCATAATTCGCTAGGTCATAGATAAAAAGCTCAATAATAATTGAAAATAAATGTTATTATTAATTTAAAATAAAATATACGAAAGCAATGACTAATTTTAAAGTTTTCTTTTGTATGATATGCTTCATTACACAGTTCCATATTATGGACTATATTACATTTGATCGATTATTTTAATTAATATAAGCATGTTAATACGCTTATGGCATTTAAAAGATTAATTATATTATTTTCTTAATATTTTATTCCCTTTGATTGATCTATTCAAAAGTCTATAAGTTGTTATAATTAACAATTGGGATCGAAATTGTTAGAATTAATGTGATACTATATTTACGAATATATTTGTTTTCCTAGATATTAATCCAACTATTTGGTCGAATCAGAAATTTTATCTAGTACGGATCGGCGAAGTATCATCGAAACATCGATCAGTAGCTGTCTAATATTTCACAGGACGATAATCATTGAGGGTCTACGCTTGACGTGATAAAGCATTCTACTGACCGATCGATAACAGAATGTTATTAAGCTTAGAGAAGATCGACTCACCAAAAAATCAAAGTTACGTTAGACCTTTCTCTCTCATGAAACCTTATTTAATTTATTAGACAATTTTACGATATCGATTTTGTGCATGCTTTATATGGACATGCTGCTTGATTTTCTTCGAAAGAGTATTCAATGAAGAAAAGAAAAAGTTTCTAGGCAAATATCGTCAATTTTCTAGTTCACATAGTTCAGAAGAATTCACTCGAAGAATCTTAGAGTGTTCCCAGCATCCCATCGGATGCTACAGGGACGAGTTCAACGGAGGGTGAGAGCAGAGAGAGAGAGAGAGAGAGAGAGAGAGAGAGAGAGAGAGAGAGAGAGAGAGAGAGAGAGAGAGAGAGAGAGAGAGAGAGAGAGAGAGAGAGAGAAAAGGAGAAAGAAACACAAGGGTCGACAGCACGAAGTTCCATAAAACAAAGGAGAAAAAACTATGTATAAAAGATCCTACGGACGAGTTCCCTTTTCTTTCCCTTTCGAGCCAGGATACGCAGAGACGTATTAAAAGGGAAGACGAGGGAAATACGATCGGATAAACTTTGTCAAGTGTTCTTTTTTAAGATAATGTTTGTACTTTCGAAGTAGTTATTCTCGACTGTTGAAAAAAAAAAAACAAGAAAAAGAAATATTAATACGAACATCATAAATATTAAACAGCATACCCTGTATTATTATATCTTTCTTTCATACAAATAAATAATCTTTTTGTTACTGGAATAACCATTTTAAAATAGAAAAGATAATTCAAGAACCATTGAGAATGTGTAAATCTAATTGTAAGACCTTTTTCTATTCTCGATAATCATACATTTTTAAGGAACAATCTGTATTTTTTGCACATAGTCGGTAATTTTTTAATAATCGAAGTTGGAACTGCTGAATTGTCTAGAAGTTGAAATGAAGAATTCCGTTATCGAAGAGGGTCTTCTGCGTCACTGTCGATGGCACAGGGATGATTTGGAGGGTGCGGATGGAGAGAGAGAAAGAGAGGAAAAGAGGAAGAGAGAGAGAGAGAGAAAGAGAGAGGAAAAGAGAAAGAGAGAGAGAGATAGAGAGAAAGAGAGAGAAAGAGAGAGAGAGAAAGAGAGAGAGAGACAGAGAGAGGAAAAGAGAAAGAGAGAGAGAGAGACAGAGAGAGAGAGAGAGAGAGAGAGAGAGAATAGAGAAAGAGAGAGAGAAAGAGAATAGAGAGAGAGAGAGAGAAAGAGAGAGAGAGAGAAAGAGAATAGAGAGAGAGAGAGAGAGAAAGAGAGAGAGAGAGAAAGAGAGAATAGAGAAAGAGGGTCGACGCCGACCCCGAGCCAGACGTCGACGCCGGCGCGGCGGCTGTCGTCTCTCGCGGGCGTAAGGTCGCTAGGGCAGGAGAGGGACGCGTGCAGTTGTCGCGAAACCTTCCGCGCGTTTCTGCATCCTTTGGTGTGTCCCTTGGTGCGTCCCGTGGCGTTGCGTCCCATGGAGCGTCCAGTGGAGAGCTGGACGTTAAAAAAATAAGGAATTCTTTAGAAATTTCGAATTGCAGATTCTCATAGAGAAAAAATCTCTCCTTTCTCGTCTCGTCATGCGAAACGATTATATTACGGTCAACGCCATGAAGCGGAAAGATATTTCGGTAAATGTTCGCATACCTACGATCGACATTGTGTCTTTTTTTCTTCTTCAATTTCTCTCTCTCTTTCTCTCTCTCTCTCTCTCTCTCTCTCCCTCTCTCTCTCTTTCTATTTCTTTTTCAATTTTTTTTCTCTCTCGCTTCCTTCAATTTTTCGAGTACGACGGCCTCGCTCATCCAAATGAATGTTGGGCAAGTCGAAGGAGAAAAGCTTTTCGTAAAGATACCGAAGCGTCGATGGATTACATTGGAACACAGTGCTGTGTTACATTATCAATTTGTTCTATCGAAATTTAGAATACGCGCGCGCTACTATTACATATATATGTACTTTTCAGTGAAGATGGGCGGGCCGATGGGAATCCTAGTTATTTGTCTTACTTGGGAGGCCTGTGTTCGTGAGAAAGTTCCGCGTCTTATCTGTGTAGTTCGATGAGATCAAATGTAATGTAAGTGAAGAAATTTGATTTGCGAATAAAGGAAATCGTCGCTTTCCGTGTAGAGAATAGGGCCAATGTATGATATTTATAGTTCTAATGAGATAAGGAAAAAATAGATCAAATTTTGTTTAGTCTAGATATAAATATATGTTGAATTATTCTATTTTCTCCTTTCTTTTTTTCTTTCTTTCTTTCTTTTTTTTTTTTTTTTTTAACTGGCACGAATATTTTTATCGCGATACCTCCGAAACTATATCACTAAATCTTGATCCTGCGAATACTACTTTATATAAATCTATAGCATCGAACTCACTGTATGTTAAATAACAGGGATATTGTCTCCTTCTTTTCTCTCTCTCTCTCTCTCTCTCTCTCTCTTTTTCTCTTATATTTCTTATTAATTAATCTAATAAATAATTAAATGGAATAACTATAATTCGATAAAAATATTTTATCGTGAAACTTTGAAATCTAAATACTCGTGAATGTAAAACATGATATTTCAGTTCATTTAACACGCCCATTCTTCTTAAACTAAAGGATAAAGTATATTTTTGCGTGGGTGGCTTATAAATATCATCCTGTAGAGACCACTCTGTATTGGTCCTGTTTTCTAGCTGACGTCTTATAAAGTTTGTCGGTTATCGTGATCCACGGGATGACCCTCCACCTTTGGACGAGCAACGAGAGAAGACAAATCCGGCATAAGATATAATCGCGTGATATGTCACGATCAGGAAACTGATGTAAAACGATTGTACAACTCGAAGATTACTTCGGTTATTCAACGATGAATCGGGAAAACGAAGAGGTAAGTTAGAAACGATCATTTTCTTCAATAGATTTTTCTTTTTACAGATTTAAATGCTATTAAAATAATTTTACTTAAAAAATAAAAAATGTTTATGTTTCTCAATTAATCAATAAGAATATATTTCTTTCAATGGATTTTAATTTTATTAATAATTTTATTTAAAAAATAAAAAATTAAAGTCGTAATAGAACAAAATATCTAAGGTCTTTCAATCGATAAAGAACGATAAAGTATAAAATTCGATCTCTTCGAACGATCGTTAGTTCGAAGCTTTTCAGGAATAATGACTACTCGATGTATTTACCTTATAAGGATTGTGTTATCCGTGTTCTCGATTATCTACGTCTTGTAAAACGAAATCGATCATATTGTAACAGAATAGGCACTTCGCTAGTTATACCGTTTTTCTTTCTATTTACGGCAGCAACCCGTTTCTCAAACGTTTTGATCATATCGTAACAGAATAGGCACTTTGCTAGTTATATCGTTTTTCTTTCTATTTACAGCAGCAACCCGTTTCTCAAACGTTTTGCGGAGCGTTGCAGAAGGAACCCAATTGCAAGTGTTTAGTACTTTCCGTACTGATATATGGATGCCTCGCGGCAGTTACGTGGTGTAGGTGCGCTAATGTTACCAAGGTGCGTTTTACAAAGAAAAGAATATTAGTCTTTTTTCTTTTTTTTTTTTTTTATATAATCTTCCTATAAACAGATGTATTATCTTAAAGGAATGTGTTCGTAGGTTGTAATCAACTTCTCCAAGTACCTTATCAAAAGTACTAAGCACGTATCTCCATGTGACGATGGTTATATATATATTCCAGTATGTATATTTATATGACTATCATATCTATTGTAGTAATATGCATTATTAATTCGCTACTTTCCTTATCGTAGGTTGCCTTTATGGGAATGCTTTATCTCGTGTACCTGGTGGAGTGTTACCATTCCCCGATTAGAATCGATCTGTCCCACGCGGAGAGTCAAGACTGTGTACTCTTGAAATTAAATCAACTAAGGCTAGCCCAACCGACGATCTGGTGGAAGGCCGTTTCCTATCATTATGTACGTAGGAAACGGCAAATCACCCGATATAGAAACGGAGACAATTATACGACGACTCAGGTAAAGGGGTAGCATGCAAACGAGAAAAAAGAACAGCCGCTTAAAAAAACCGTTTAACAACTTTAATCCGTTGTTACTATATCTCCTAATCGTCATTCGCTAAACGCGCGTCTCTTAAAAAGAGAGTAAACGATAACGTGCCGTTTAATTTGTCACGATAGGTTTATTACGAAAGGGTGAATACTCACGCTGCCACGTCCTTCTATTACTACGATTACTGTGGGGTGAAGGATATCAGCAAGGAACTGATACCCGATCCAAAAGTACCCATCACGAAGATCGCGCTGACCAAGGGCTTCGCCTTTTCAAACATGAGATCCGCCACGGAATTTGAGGAAGCCAGGTCAAGGTTCTTCGCTGAACAAGTACGTTAGTTCGTAGTCGATCAAAGGATATACTCGTGCCAAGAATTAATTATCTTATACTTTTGTTTGGATAGGAACTGAGAGACGACTACATGGAGATGAGGGAAGGCTTGGAACTTGGATGTAATCTCAATCCCACAACTTTAGTCGCCGTCCTTGGTAAACCTTGGTTCACCAATCGTTACGTTTATTGGTGCCTTAGCGCTCTCCTTCTTAGTTGGCCCTTGAGAGTAATCATAGAGTACAATACGCAATACGCCGACTATCAGGTAAATAGTTACAATATCTAAAGATTTTTAGGAAGAAGGGATAAGATTTACCGATGTTTTTAGGTGACTAAACTATTTGGAGTGAACTATGATACACCGATCGGTGCCGAGCCAATACGTACTTCCACTAGTCAATTGAGTCAACCAGGATCTTACATGTTGGCACCAAGTTACAGTGAAGCACTCCTCATGGAACCAGCAGCTCGACCTACCACAGAAAATCGACAGATCGAAGCAGAGCCAGGAACAGAGTCCGAGATCGATATGGGAATAGTTCCTAGTTACTCCGAAGCATTGCTTTACGAACGAGCTGAACTTGGATCGAACGTCGCCGGAACTTTTCCATTGATTCAAGAAGAAAGAAAGGAACTCAGAGTGGAGATCAAACCGACGTGCCAATGTCTCTGTCATAAAATTTCCAACGACTTGGAGGTCGTTCAGGAACAAAATCTTTCGGATCATGTGGAAGATCGAGACTCTACTTACGTAACTTTGGATCCTACGTCTATCGCTAGCAGTTCGATGTGTCAGAACGATATTTCAAATGACTTTGAACTTGTATCTTGTTCGTGCGGTCACCAAAGTTCTTACACGTGTCCCAGTGTTTTGGACAAAAATAATCTCGGTGAGATTACTGTTAATAACACTAGAACAATGGATAGGACCGACAAAGTTATTCGCCCATCGCGAAGAGTGAAACGAGATATTTCCGAGCCGAACTTACGATCGCGTTCAGAAATAGGTCACGAAGGAGCTTGTTCTTCCAAGATAAATTGTAGAAGTTTGGAAAATATTTTAGAAGAAGAAACGACAGATTCTCGAAATAATCTCTCGAGAGTCAAATTGGATGGACCTCGGGATAATTTTGAAACAATGATCGATGATGAAGTTTCGTCTATAATAATAAACAAATCTATAGATAATAATGTGACTCGTGAGATAAACAGTGCTGAGTCGAAAGGTGCCATTCCAAAGAGATTTGTGGAGCAGAACACATCGCGTTGCAGAGTGACCGTGAATCCAAGATCGGATGAAGTTCGTAGGCAAATACCAGTCTCGAGGACCTACTTCTGTTTGAAATCGATTCTCAAGCAAAACAAGCGTCGATACACTTTGATGACTACCGCACAAGAATTAGAGCACATCGAAGATTGGGAAACCGTAAGGTTGGATAGGAGTTTCGAGGAGCTTCGATATAATAACTCGCATTTGGAATGTGGGAGAAGAAATAATGAAATTGTTGGATCAAATGAAGAAAAGGTTCACACGTGTTTGTCACGAGAATACTTGAATAATGCGTCGAGTTCACGAGCGAAAGATAAAGGACACCTACAGAATTTTACCTTTGGGAAAGAGAAGTCATCACCTACGGAACAAAAATATGATTATTCAAGGTCAATTTTACGAATACCATTTTCTTTTCCTTAATTTTTAAAAATTCAACTGAGACTTTTCTTTTTTTTTATCAACAAATCTCTGTTATATATTCCGTCCTCTTTAATTACTATTTTTGATGTTTCTATCTTTCACAGAACTCTCATCTTCGCTAGCCCGATCCAAGAAGTCTGTCCGGACGACCCGTTCGGTGGCAAGAATGTTGTACCAACAAGAAATCAAAGCTATCACGAGGAGATTTCTAACGTTCCTATGTTGGTTAAGCTTAGACGATCTTTTACCGAACGAGAGGGTATACATCGACGTCACAGAGACGTTCGTAAGATCCATCGGCGTCGTACTTTTGCTGTAGACGCCGATTATTCTTTTCCCTTGGTTGAACCTGAGAATTACGAGACTATGAATGGAAATATCTATGTGCCTGGTTATAAAAATGGCGTATCATTTCCTCCTTACGACGGTTTTACGACCGATCGACGAACAACATCGATAACACAACCGATCGTTTTAAAAAATGACTTTCGACCTTCGGCCGAAGGAAATCTCACAGTCGAAGAACATTTTTCAGTTGAAGATGACCATGAAAATGAAGCTAGTGGCTGGTCTGTCGAAAATAACGTTTCACCTAACACACTGACGAGATCCTTAACAGAACGAAGAACCAATCCGAAGGATGGTCGTAATTCAAATTTACGAAGAAGCTTCACTGGTAGAGTAGACTCGATGAATTGCAGATCGATGAACGGTAGACGTACCAACCTTAACATGGAAACCTCGTTGTAACAAGTCGATACGATTAGCTCCTTTTGTACTACGCGCGCTCTGTTCATATACTATATATATATATATATATACACACACATACACACACATACATATATATAGTACGATTGAAGGAGGAGAATGGGGCCTTCTTTAAACAGTAGAATATATAGTGACTAACGATTGCTCTTCAAGATCATCGCGTTTTCTTCGAACGTTCGATTTTTAAGTAAAAATTACCATACAGATACATGATAATATTTTGGGATGCTAAAGGAAAAGAATGAAAAAAAGGAAAAAAAAGAAAGAACAAAAACAAAAACTTATTCCGTCTTTTTAACGCGTTAATTTTGGAGATAACGTTTTACGCTTTCGATTTGCGATGCAATTAGGCATTGCTAGCTAGAAAGTGTGTCTTCGAATTCTGGGATAAAAATATTGACGAAGTCGAGTAAAAATTATTTTATACATATGCACGAATTTGTGGTACGCTGGTGCTGCTACTGCTGATGATAATGCTATAAAGAAAAATGTCATAAATAGCGCTATTAATATCTAAGAAATATGAATGGTCATCGCATATGCGTATGTTCCAATAGAGTGCTTTAAAACATAGCTAGGTATACAAAACGCAAATTTGTCGAAAGTCAATTATACGCGCACAGTATCGTAATCATTGGCTTTATTGACATTAAATTAGGAACAAAAAGTATCGCGCATCGTTAATAACATTATGCACAATTAACATAGTCGATTGATGACAATTACATTTAAGTACCGTCCTAAATCTTTGTTTATCATTAGTTCATACACACGTAAAAAGGATCCCTTGAAAGTGCTCGCCAACTTTTCTCATAATAATGTCTCTAAACAATATGTTATAATTTTGAAAGTTATTTAAATACTTTTGTGAGGTACTGTATCTGTTATCCCATTTTAGATATCGATTATCGATAAAGTCAGTTTGTAAACACTTCACATTAAATTAACATCATAATCTCATCAGTTTCCATGGTATATTCAATTAGAAGTATATTACATTAATATTCAACATTTATGTATCCATGAGTACACTTTTAAGGGAAAATATCTTCCATTTGACATTTAAATATTCTCAATTAATTCCATATTTTGTTGTCGAAAGAATAAAAATGTTCGTAATAGTTAATGTGTGACGGGGAAAATTTTCGAAACTACACTATTACGATTTAATTTAGCAAAGAATCTAATATACGCGAGTTGTAAAATAAGTTATTTTTTCTACCAATATAATCGATATATATACTCATCGTTAAAACGTAAAATATAAATCGCCAATGATAAAAACAAAAAAAATGCCAAATTACTGCATACACATTAGGGCAGTAACATATGAAACAAAAGAAAATGTTTTACACAGTATTCATTGGATATCCTTGCTGAATATAATATTTTTAGCTAATGGCGTATGAAACTTCATACGAATATTTTAGTACCGATGATGTTGACTGTCAATTTTTAAGTAATCGCGTCTCTTTGTACATGGATAAAAATATTTTCGGCAATATCGTACGACCACAAAGACTCTTTCTCATAATGTTGTTTATCCAACAACACAAACGATCCTCAACTAATTTTTAACTTTATCGCCGATGTAAGATCTATTGCTCGTTATTGGAGCAGTATTTTTTACATAAGTATAATGGATATAAGTCGTTTGAGTTAATCCATTTGTACAAGCGTATATACGATCACCAAATGCTGGACAACGACCTTCTAAAACATTCGACGGTTCCGATTTCGTACAAACGAACAAGAAAAAGATTCAAATCGGAATTGATAAGACGGTACAAATTTCGTTCGTTTTTCTCGAACGGACAATGCCATTTATAATTCCTAAATATTTTTATGTAAAAGACCAAACGTGCAAGTTTCCAAAATATTAACATCTAATAATATATATATATACAGGGAGTTCAAAATAAGGGGTTTAAGATATAGAAAATATATTTAACTCATTAAACTTAGTATGCATTATTTATTGACAAAATTGCCAATTACTAATCGTTTACTCAGCTTGAATGAGTACTATATATTTTCTAAATCTATAATTCTTTTCTCTTAACGTACCCTGTATATATACGATTATAAATATATGTATAACGACGTCAAACTTATTGAAAAACAACAACAACAAAAATCACAGAATTACTCTTCTGCGTATATATAGTCTTCTATAACGCATATAAGAAAGAGAATTTGGAGTGTTATTTGTAAACGATTATACGCGCGCGTGTGTTTCAAATTATGCATTCTTATAAACGTTTGCAATTACAAAGCTTATACGTATGTGTATTTCCGGGTATAATCGAATAAAATGCGCAGTTAATACTAACGTAATTTTAGGCTTAAGCTAATCTATTTGCGACAAGCCAACAATTATTGTATAGTATACTGTATATACATTATCGTTCGCGTAAGTATTCGAAACATCTGCAATAAAAAAATTTGATAAATTTTTTCTGTTTACAGATATTTAAAATCTATAAACATATAATCTGTTTTTGGAAAAAAAAACAATATATATATATATATATATATATATATATATATCGCGTAATTATTTCGAATAATTTGTAAGCACATATAACGAATATATAAGCACGAATAACACAGTTCATTCGAATACTTAAGTATGATAATGTGTATAAATATATATTTATAATGTTTAAAAATGTGATATATATACAATCCCGTTCTAGTTTGGTGATATATAATTGAAAGAATGTAACGTCGCTTTTTAAATTGCGCACAATCATGGACGAAGTAGAAGATTATTCCCCGCCCGCCATAATTTTTAAGTAAAATCGATTTAAATGGAGTAATTATGAAAACAAAAGAGAAATGTACATCTAGAAAGAATGTACATCTTTTTCTTTTTTCCTTCTTGCGAAGAACGATGCGAATGTAATATAAAAATAGGATAAAAACGTACAAAAATATGCGTTTTTCCTTATCATGCCTTTCAAGTTGCTTACATTAAAATTTTATTAATCAAATGTGAAAGGTATCGAAATCTACGATTTTATTAGTACCGTAACCAATTAACGACAAAACTCTATTTTTCTTATTGGCAATGAATATATGATCTCATACATACCTATATATATTCATATATATGCATACATACATATACATAACATAGATACATATATACATATGTATATATATGTACTGTATACATATACTATGCATATAATAATATATGAATTGTCAACATAGTAGCAAATAAAGCTTAAACGTAAGAAATACACACGGCTAAGAGCATAGAGGCAATATAGATTATTATTATTATTATAGAGAAATAGAAATAGATATTAATTGGCATTTTTTTTGTAATATTCGATATTCGAAATCATACCGAATGTCGTACATATATGATTTTGTTTCATAAGAAAATTGTTATATCGAAGATTAAAGAAAGAAAAAAGAATAAAGAATTAAGGGTAATTTTTGATTGTTACAGCTTATGTAATAGCAGACAATCTAATAATGTATTTAACTGACGAGCGGGGAAGTTTCGTTATTTAAAGGAAAAACAAATATTGTATTACCCATGCCGTCTTAAAAAGTGCTCTTCTGATCGAAAAATTGTGTTAGAGCAATGCTAATACGTGATAAATAGAAAAACGTTAGGGTGCAGAGTATATAAGCGTGCTTTTTTTTTGAAAAATAATGCATCTGTAACTAACGTGATTCTGTCGCTATATAAAATATAGTAGTATTATTATATATAATGTTATTAATGATATACAGTGAATTATACTGGTGTAAAAACAAACTATGGTTATAATATAATAAACGTTGACATATTTAAAAGTTACAGATCCGAATTTGTTTCTTTAGGTATTACGAATGCAAATACGTATATGAATAAATAATGCACAAGCGTGTTTTATATACTTATATTGTATTTCTCAAAAACAAAAAAAAAAAAAACAAAAAAAAAATTATGGAATAATTTGCGTAAAGCCATAAAATGTGGTGCTAATTAAGCGTACCGGAACTATATTCTTTCTGATTATACGAGTAATATACAATCTACACGAACACCCACAGACGTACACACAATCGCACGGAAATGTAATACATTTAGACTGTGCATTGTGAAACTATTTCTTCTGATACTTTTATTTCTTGTCCATAATTCAAGATCTTTTGATCAACTTTCCTCAACAAAGTAACAAACATATTTATTGTTCTTGTGCTAAATCTTTCCTTTTTTTTTTTTAAATAAAAAGTGTCCTTACATAACTATACAATAAATATCTATATCAATAAACGTCTAATGCCTGCAGTTGCATATATGAGCTAAAGATTTCCTTTCTTTTGTTTTAATTTCTGAATAATATATAGACATTTGAAATTTCAGGCAGCTGTAGAGGGGCCACCGAAACATATAGAGAGAATTGATTTGAAATCTAAACAAATATCCAGAACAACATATCCAGAAAATATAAGAAACAGGATTGAAAGTGGTAAAATCTACATATCATATTTGAATAATACATGCAGACAATACTAAATGTTTATTAATACAGATTTGTTTTTTTTTTTTTTTTTTTTTTTTTTTTTTATAAGTTTTATTAACTTATCGTAGTTCTTTTTTTTTTGTTTTCCATTCAACATCATTGATTAGCCTGTAATAGGCGGGTACGAATACTAATTTGTATATATAATATATATGTGTGATATATGCGTGTATAAATATATATATATATATACATATAGATATATTTTAATATATGTATATATACGTATATTATTTTTGCACAGTGAACACCTTGTCTTATGTGAGAAAAGACAGGATATAGGACACTTTATTTAGTTGGACTAGCAATATCAGCAGGCGATTATGACGAGCCAGTGCACAACAAATATACACTCAATGAATCCTTAATTTAACAATTACAACTAATCCTTTGTAAATCCTGGTCTAGTGTAGTATACTCGATAGTAAAGTGTTTTACTTCGCCACAATGAATATGAATTGTCGAACTTCAGAAGATAAACTCCCTGTGATCAAAGAATTAACAAGGAATTAATTTTAGTACGTGATTATTATTATATAATAATTTATGAAAGCTCATTACATTTACCTGTCCAGGATATTGATGACTTCCAGCATATACTTCTTCTTGAGAATCTCTCCTGTAGATCTTAATAATGAAAACATACAAATTTAATTATAAATGTAGAAAATTTAGAAAAAATAAAATGTTATAGTATACTTACAGGTACTATTACACTTATAGG